TGGTGGTATTACTACAACCTACTACTACACGACACGTGCTGCTCTTCAACAGATTGTCAGAGCCTACTGGAAGTATTTTATGCAGTGTTGTGCCTGAACGTATCTTTCATAGAACTACTGCATCGTAACGCGACACTTGCAATTGCATCTTTGCCGTTTCTCATGGTGATAAAAGTTAAATGCTGAAGCAGCGTGTAGAAGTTCTAGTAAGGTAACGGTACCTCACAATTACGTATCTTCTACCTACCTATAATTAGAATAATTCCTAGAACTCTTGTAAACACGTTTCACCATTGTCACTAGGTAGTTATGGTTCTAATAGAGTCAGACTTTACATCAATTAATACCATAAACATTTTAATCCATTTGGCGGTAGAGATAAGCAAAAGGGAAGTGGTTTTAGATATTACTCGAATATGGTTTATCGCATGCTGTACAAAATCCGCTATTACTCAATGTTATATCACGTTAGCAAAAACAATTTATCATCCAGTTGCTCTCAACAAGCTCTTGAATATTTCTCATCATCATCTCGCCCTGGTGAAAACCAGAGATTATACTGTCAAAATAGTTCTGTGTCTGAAAATGAGATCGGTCAATGTTTGTTCGTCATGGCATTCGATATGCTTGCACAGGTGTACCGCGCGAGACACGAGGCCTTAAGATGGCAATGTAAGCTTAGCTTAGCCTAGTAATTATTTTAAATCGATTTATAGGTACTTATGTAACTTGAAGTCGCTAAAATTATTACCAATTTAGAAATCTTCTCTAGGGGAATCGGGTTTTGACGATTGTCCGCTAATGATTTTAAAGACATCTCGCATTGGGCGAGAGTATGGATTCGAAACTTTAGACATTTATGGGTAGTCTTGCGAATTTTCGCTACGCAAGATGAATATAAGATACCCCTACGACTGTATTATTTAGGTATCTATTTAATACATCCTTGTGAACATCATTTTCTGTCATTAAGAAAACCGCGCACTTAACTAACAACAAAGTGCTTCAATTTTGAAGCACCTTATTATGCGGGTACCCTTAAGAGTCTCTACGAAACTTTCACACGACTATCAAACTACCGAGCTTTTATAATAAATTCTATGACTCTACTACAAATGCTTAAAAACCAGAATATAACTAGATTTTTAATTACTTATTTCCGTGTACGGCAGGTGGTGTCTCTAGATTGGATTCAACGGAAACAGGCGATTGAAATCAGTTCTAAAGTCAGTTAACTGCCTTCTAAAAAACCTTACAATAACATAAAAAAAATTGAAAACCATTAATACGAGTAAGTAATGAGTCTGAATAACGTTTCTAATTATAAGTCCTATTGCAGCTACTTAATCACTCTGATTAAATCTAATCACTTCAGTGTTAGGTAATAATAAGCGATTGAAGTAGACTCTTAATTAGGCACGACTAAGAGAGTTTATGAGTTATTACAAGTACTCATTATTCGCTCAATATGATGCCAACTAATAGAGGCACAAATCGAAATGTTTCAATGTTCTACTCAAAATACTTGAAGCAGAATCAAGATTTATTTCAATAAATGCATAAAAGCGCTAACTTTAAAGGGCCGTTTAAAAAACAAAACCCTTTGTGTATTGTACAAAGGGCCTAAAAGACACATCTTCTTCTTATCTCTTACCGAAACAACAAAAGGGTAACAACTGGCAGTAGCCGACACAAAAACTAAGACGAAAAGGCCGCAGGTAGCTACGAGCCATGTAATTGTGTATTAGTGCACTCTATCGAAAGACATTAGACGGTATTTAGAAACTCTTGACAATAGCAAAAATAGTAGAGGTACTTCAAATGTAACAAAAAAATAAGTTATCAACTTTCCGGGTGAAGTAACTCAAAAATCCCGCTAAATGTTAAAAGCATTTTATTTTAATAGTGCCTAAATGATTATAAATTTCACAAAATAAATCAGCACTCCGCCCAGAAAATACCGCGCCTTAAAACAGGATTCAAACATTGTTGCAGGTTTCGTAACTTAATCTAGCAAGCTAGACTAACGCAACTTAATATTATGTGGAACAGCCGCTTGGCTGCATTGTATCACGAATCACATTTACGAGAAAACCAATAACTATGCAGTCAGATAGAATTCAAACCACAAAAGCATTCACGAACATTCAGACTCAGGATAATAAATCACCAAAAAGGTTAAGTTTGAAAGACAAATTTTGGACATATGGTGTGCAGCTGTAAGGTCGGCGGTGCATCGACTAATTTATTACGACTTGACAGCATTTTTTACCAACACCCGAGAGATGACTTTATTAACTATTATGGAGAAACGATTTCTGAAAATTTCTCAAGGCGAAGCGTGACTGTAACCAAAACAAGTTACGAATATGACGATCGATATAGCGCTGGGCCCGATAAATCAAGTAATCGCAATAATCGATAATTCTCTTGGCACCGAACCGCCTTGCACCAACATAGATATAGGAATAACTTGATGCAGTTTTATAAATAGCACCATTCGATGAAGTACAGGGGAAACATAAAATAGCATTCTGATGACGGTTATATCGTTGTTTAAACTATGTTAACATTTCCTGCCTCTAAGCTCTGTTTGATAACGTAACACTGCGCTATTCTATAAATCTCCCGCATTATTTACTTAATTTTAAGTGACATTATGACACTATCAAATCAAGAACCAAAACAAACAGAGCGTTGATGAGAAAAGTGCGTTTAATCCTGATAGTGTACGTCAGTAACTTAATACTGTTGAAGACAACTCATCCACATAATTAAGTGTGTAAACATAGATTAGAGACGTCGGATGCAGCTGAGCTTATCCGATTTCTTCAAACGACGCGTGTAAATACAGAATGCAGTTGGATACTTGCAATTCGTTGCCCTCACTCGAGAAAAACGTTAACATTTGCATGCAATCTAAATAAACCGTCCTTTGAAATAAGTTGCAGGGGAAACAAACAAAGAAGAACCCTTGCGTAAAGTTAAAAAGGAAACGTGAATGGTTACTGAAAAAATACATTTCTAATGATCAGAACTCTCAAGTTTAAACACCTCTAAAGGAGACGTGTGCCGCAATTCGAAATCATTATCTATTGTGTAAAAAATAGTTGTTAAATAGAGCTAACTTGACAGCCTTCAGCTATTGTCGGCTTCTGAACAGGATTAGCATAATTTTCCGCTCGCATCTAACTACCAGCATTTCTGAAGCTAAGACGTCTCGCTCATTAAATAAGACAACCTTATGTTTAGTTTAGTTAGGTAGATCATTTTATTGTAGTTATACTACTGCGTTTAGGTTTGTAGGTAGAGTTATTAATTTTTTATCCTTGAATCGATTACCTACTTAACGAATACCTATGTATATTCGTTTAACGTCCGCAGACTGTATCCATGTTCCACTATTCCACTATTGGTGACAGCGATTTTCAAGGGCCAAAGTTGGTATTGAAATATTTCAGCCAGAATAAAGTTATATGACAATGATTAAAACTTATGTTTTCAGACTTCATCGCGTATAAATAGTTGAAATGTTTCTCTTACGGATCATCCTCTTTATTGCGAACAGCAATCAAATATTGATTATTTTTGGCTCAGAAACTCAATGAATTCAATTCTTAAAGCCGTTTTCTCGAAGTCCGAGTAGGATATCTAGAATAACAGCATTATTATGGGCAACGGAGCGCCATAAATCTCCGATTGGTTTATGTTCGGGCCGTCTAGCCTGTCCCGAAATAATTGATTTTATTTTCGTCGAAGAACCGTAATGCCATGCTAATGCTTTTGGAGACGGCCCGGAATTTTGGACGGTTTTGACCACAGGTATTAACAATTTACGTCACACTCGTCCTAGAACCCAGCCATTTAAAATTCCAAGCCTGTCCAGTTGAAGCCTTATGGGTTAGAAGATGGTGCCTCATTAGTATAATTGACAACTTACAAAACTTAAGCAAAGTTATTAAAACAGTGACTCAGAAGACTTCTCTTGTAAATTGTTGTGGTTTCAAGGAATTCCGGCATCATTCAGAGGAAGTTTTACATAAAATTAATTAATAAACGTCGCAAAACAAATGACTAAGAATACATTTGCTTCATAAAAGGAAATGTCCGAGATCTTGGACAAATCATTATCAGAAACAGACATCCTGTTTTCAAGCATGGTCCTGTTTGGAATGAGCTTGCTGTCGCCGTATATTATTCTTGGACGATATATTTACGTCAAACAGTTAATAGCCAATCTCATTAGTTCAGGCCACGTCGCTGGTACTGCTAAGGACGCGGGAAACGCGAGGACGCCGAAGGCAATCGAGCCATTTCTATGCAATACCACGACTATGCAAATACAAGCATTCTGTCTAATGAAAACGTTGAGGCTACTTATTGGCAAGTTGTATGTCGCGGGCGCATTGAAACATTAAAGAAAATTGATGTTCAATCATCGTTGTTGCAGTGAGACTTTTTATGGCAGTGTGGGAAGTGTGACTTTTAGTATCTAGGATATGTCTCAAGGACTCGACCAAATCTAATGTATTTGTTTATTTCTATTTTTCTTTGATTTTCTTCTTTGTTTATCTGTTACCTTTCTTTGATTGAAACTGTGATTTTGTAAAGTTTATACATTTTACTTTATACGTTTCTAACATTTAATTAATTTTGGCTTTAAGAAATCCTGATTTATTTGATTCGATGGAAATGTTAGTTTCAGTCACTGTTAATGATATTATTATACATATATAGGGATACAGTTTCGTTCTTTACTTAGTGCTAACTTCATTTGGACATCTGCTATTTGCTTCCACTTGGGGTAAAAGTACACAAAACCAAAGAAATCTTCACCAGTCAACTATAAAAGATAAATCAAGTGAGAAAATAGTCCTGAATCCTGAAATAAACTTTTCAAGTGCACTCGTACACATTTCATTGTCGTCGCGGAATGCAATCACTCCAAAACTATTATTAGAAAGGGTACAATAAAGTTAAAATAAGATAAATGCACGTACAAATCTTGCTCGCCGCTCCCGCCGTAGTCACATGGCTCGCATTCGTTGGAAAGTTTAGAACTCCTGTTTTTGTTAACCTCGACGATCCTGCACTGAATTTCACTGAACAAACAAGTCACAATAACATCACTGTCCCGCCGGTTAACTTTACAAGTCCAGTTTCAGTTAAAAATCCGTTTGTTTCGGGTTTGTGTTTTGTTTATGTTTGGGGGCGAAGCACCGAGCGACGTGCTCACGAGTCGCGCGCGCGCTTCGGATTGAGTCAATTTGAGTCGTGTTTTGTTGAACGCCCGCGCCCGCTACATGACAGCTTCATTTTCCCATCCCCACTCTGCCAGGCCCTTTGGATTACGTAGCGCATGGAATAGACTTGTTGCATTTTTATTTTATTTTATTAGACTACCAACCGGTCCAAACTGTCTTCGCTTCGGCGGACGTTATTCGGATGAAGATGAATGATTAATGCAATTGTGGGTAATTCGGTGGGTTGGGACGTTAAGCCACAAATCGCTTGGGAGTTTGAGTGTAATCCAATTAAGAATAACAAGTTAATATAATGACTTGAATGTTGAATATTTATTTATGCTTAGCTATGTAGAGACTCGTATAAACATGTGATGGGATGGTAAATTACTTAAAGTAGGTACCTACCTGCACATGTTGGTTGGTAGAGAAGACGCTACCAAAAAAAAACGCATGAGCTGAATGTCCTAAATCTGCCACTAAACCTAAGTAATGTTTTTTCGTTGTAATGGTTAGGTACTTAGGTACCTACCTACTTACTCTCCTTAATTAATGTAGAGTCATCAAAAGCTTCCTAAGGTCTCAAAGCTCTTTAAAGTCTTTGGAACTCAAAATTTGGGTAGGATTAAGAAATTGTTGTTGTAGCTAGATCTATTCTAGATTCTTTTATAAGCTAAGTTACCCAACTCTAGAAATAACATTTGAACTCAACATGTACTAGATAAAGGTTACTTGAAATAAACTACGACAGGCAAGACTCAGAAATTATTTTGAAAAACAAACACACAATACAGATTTATTATTATTACAGTGCACGGGCACGCAATGTGTAGTGTAGCCAGTTCTCGAGAAAGTCATTATTAAAGACCTTCGCCGACCGTTTTTGTACGCAGCGCGGCTTGTATAAAAAAAGGTTTATTTTAAAATTGCGTTGATTGAGATGTTACGGCTCGGGAGCTCGATATTGCTTTTTTTTTCAGCCAGTTCCTGTCGGCCTCTATCGACCTTCTTATCGAAATGTTTAAAAAATGTTTGAAGAAGGATTGTAACCGGTACAATACAATTTTATTTATACCTATGTTGACTATGTTGTGTGATGTTGATTAATTTAAAGAATAGTTATGCGAACATTATTTTATCGGTAGGTAGGCCTAGGTACGTTTAAAACTGACTGAAATACTTATGTAGAGCTCGCTTAGCGGAAAAGTAAAACCTCATGTTTGGCAGTTTGCAACATCACTCACTACCAAGTTCTTTCAAGAAGTCCGCGTGCAAGTATAGGAATAAGTAAGATTATTGATAAATTATGTCATAATGTGGTTATGACTCATAACCACTACAATTTTTACCAAATATTACTTAAGCACGCACACGCACGGCACACCGCACGCACGAATACTTAAATGTAGAGCTCTGCATAAAACTCTAAAGAATTTTGAAGCGGAATCTATATTAGAACCAAAGTTAAGTACCTACCTACTTATCTTATTCTTAATTTTGTAGGTTTTTAACTAATGGCAATTGACAACCAAACCTCCTCTTTAGGAGGTTCATTTATGCCAATGTCGAGTGGTTTCTTGATTAATTTGTACAATAGAACATGGGTGCTTTAGTTCTATTGCTTTTCGTGGAGACGAGATATGTATGCCCGTAAGTAAGCAGGTTTCAAGACGCTATATCGGGGCTATATCGCTTAAATTCGAAGTGTTTCTAGGTTTTTATATAATATTTATCACTTAACTGCACTTTAAAACCCAAAATAACACTAGATTTGTACTCTAAAGTCTATAAAATAATAAATGAAAACCTTTAAAACAGATCGAACACGCTTGCCGTTCAACTACCCTCCCTTCACGGAATCAGTGGTGTAGGTATACTTACTGTGTACTTAGTGCCTGGTAATTTTAAATAGCAAAGTGTTTCTGTCACTTACGAAATATTATAATACAAAGGAGAATTCGAGATCCTTTATGGTAAGTTATTAAATTAAAGAGCCACTTTTATAAAAATGGTTTATCGGAAAAATCCATCGCACATTATTTTGTGAATAGGAACGTATTTAATAAAAAATTGACATTGACAGTTAAGTTGACAGCTTGTGTCAGAAAGGAGAAAAAAAAACAAGGCTTCGTTTGTTTGTGTTGTTCAGTGTTGTTGTTGGACTTCTCACTTTTTCTTTTGTTTTTGTTTGCTGACGAACTTATCTTTTAAGTTAGGCTTGCTTTGTTTTCTGTAAATTGCTATTAAAGGTTGTACATGTAGATTTGAACAGTAAGTAAGCAGATATGGCTTTCCCGCGAAAATATTTGTTAAAAGATCTACTTCATCAACCAACACCCATCGAAGTGTGGCTCCAAGGAACTATAGAACAGACCGTTGGGAAGGATATCTTGATTATCTCGGACTGTTCCGGCATCAGGGCGAAAATAACTAAGTGCGAAACGGCCGATGGAGTTATCGACAAAAATTCACTGCAGAAAGGTGAGACGACCTTGTAAAGTAACTTTGATTTTAATTTTATATGGCTTTATTTCAAATCTATACCTAAGTTCTTATTTTTAGTTAAGTGCTTTACTCAATTTTTATTGCATGGTGAATGATAAAACAATTACATGATAATAGAATATTTAATAATAATAATATTTATGACTGAAAGAACCCAATTATTGTGGTATTACTTAAGTCTTTTAAGGTGTCATGCATGATTTAGAAAAACTGAAACCACATTACTAAATGAATAGCCACTCTGACTAAGGGAGTTGTTGGGACTCTGTCTCGTCAAGCCTACAAGTAATATCTCTGCATCTTTGAGTCAGGAGCTTTATTGGATGGCATAAAAGTATATTAAATTGGTCCTGTGAAGATATTTTTACTATTTGCAGGCACATATTGCTGTATCATAGGAACAGCTATCAAAACTAAGGGTTTGCCTGAAATTCAAGCAAACAAGTTCATAGATTTAAGCATGAAGCCTCAAATGAAAAATTCTTGGGAAAATGAAGTTAAAGAAGCAAATTTAGTTCTACAAGGAAAAGTTGTACCTGCTGTTTAAAATAAGTCACTGGTTTTCTTGAGTAATTGTGAAGTTACTTACTTATTATAATGTTGTTAAAAATTAAACTTGTCATCTTCCTTTGTATTGTAATTAATCTACAACAGAATTAATCCAGAAAAGAGATTCCATTAGTTAAACATATTGAAAATGAAACATAGGTTTCTTAAAGAAAACAACATTTGTAAATTTTTAATTTTATTGAGAAATATTTCTGGATTTGATATTGTATTGCTTTGTGAATATGAATCGAAATAAACCTCATACATCTGACCTAGCCTAGATGCACTGGAAATAACAATACACTAGTAAAAAAATTTATTATAAATAAAAAATACTTATCATAGTGGAAATAACATTGATAAAATATTCATTCAAAAATATTACCTAAACCCTCTATACGTTTGTTAATATCCCATTTATGTAAATATAAATTGATAACATTCATAAAGTATTTAATACTCGTCCTAAATGCGACAACATATTACTCTTTTATACATTTCACCTTAATGAATACGATATAAAGTGGTGTAGTCTTATAGTTTAGCCTCAGTCTTGAGTAGGGGTTGCAGTTTCTGCGCCAGCATGATGTTGCCAGTGATCTTGAGTCTTCCCTTCATGAAGGCAACTTGTGGGCTGAGCTTGCCAGACGCGAGCTCTACTAAGTCACTGTCTGATAGAGTCATGGTGGTGTCAGCTTTGCCGCTGGGCGCACCCTCCTTGACTTCGGCTGATTTCAAGTCGAGAGCTGTGGAAAAAAGATAGGAAAATGATATTTTGTTTTCGGCTTTGTTCGAATTCTGTGTTAAAAATTAGATACCATTCAGGAGAAGGCAGCGGTAGTGATCCAGTTTGGTTAGGATAAGGGTATACTGGGTGGTCAACCGGATAGTTCAGAAATATGATTATGTGGTCGAAAGGAACATGGTTAAAACTTTAGTGTGATCAAGCTATGCCAAAAAACTTGTCCAATTTAACTAAGTAAACTGCTCAAGTTTTTTTAATAACTAAGTGAACTGGTCAAGTATTTTTAAAATAAATATTATTATGTTGGTACGTACTCCACTGCTTGACAGTTTTGCCGTCTTGCGTGATGTTGTAAAGGAACACCGCGTTGATGCTCTTTGCCTTGGCGGGATTCTTGGCCACCTCCTCCTTAATCTTGGCGAAGAGTCCGTCGCTCTGCAGTTCAGAGGCCGACGCAGCCGACGGACGGACCTTGCTGACATTCTTCAGGTCGACGTAAGCGCCTGAAAGATAACAATGACGTTTAAAAACCTTGAAGAATCAAAGGGCATCGTTTCGGTTCATAAATGAGAAGCCCCAAATAAAGAATCACAATTAGTCAACTGACTTGCGTAATGTAAATGACAATATTACAGTCGAGAAGTTCAAGGTAAACACTTGACGTCTGCTGTTAACAGCCTCTTAATGAATGTAAAATGGAAGCACAAATAAAATCAGACTCACAATAACAACAATTTACAAACAACATCATAATGTTACTTGGGTAAGACTAAGACGATCGGCCTTTTTTCCCTTGGCATAAGGCAGTCAACAAAAATATGATCACTTTTAAACATATTGTTAGAAAACAGTCCTGTAAAATGTAATCTAAAATACTTGATGTCTGGGGCGGATTACCAATCCAAAGATGTGCGGTGAAAACAAACTTAACAAACGGTATTTTAATGAAATCGGTAACTACCTCCTACCTCTAAATAAAAACTACAAGAGTTTGATGAAAATAAAACGTTTGAAATTAGCCTTAGCAACCTACTTCCAAATAAAAACATTTCCCATTGCCGATAATGTCTCACCTGAAATAACGACGTTTCCAGACTCCTTGACCTTAGTCTGGAAGTGCACCCTCTTGCCTTCCAACCACATCTCGGTGGCGAGCGTCTGTCCCGGCATGACTGGCTTGGCGAAGCGGACTTTGATCGCCTTCACGTTACCAGAGTCGTTGTCGGCGTATCTGTGTAATGATTACATGTTATTAGTTTTATTTCAGGACTAGCTGACCCGGCGAACTTTGTTCCGCCTTAATGGCAATAAATAAGCAGACTTTTTTTTTATTTCGAACGGGATAAAAAGTATCCTAAGTCCTTCTCCTGGCTCTAAACTACCTCCCTGACAATTTTCAGCTAAATCGGTTCAGCCGTATAAGTGAAGTAATTAACACGACTTTCTTTTATATATATAGATTATTTATTTAGTAGGTTCTACCCGTGGCTTCCGATTTTGGCCAGTCACAGAATCGCGACACTTCAAATATGGCAGTGAAAACTTTTCTGAAGCACTCTTCACTTCTTTCTATAAACATTAAAATGAATTTCCAGATCCCTTATTTCAGAAAAAATATCCCGAAACCAACTTTCAGCCTTCATTTCCCTCTTCTAGTTATTTATTTTAGAGTTTAAATTTGCAATAACTCGTACACAGATAAATTGGTAGAACAAATTGAAATGCAATGTAAAAGATTAACTGAAATATTACTTATTAAAAAGAAAATATAAACAACACGCGAAAAAAAACCGTATTCAGACGTGCATGCCAGTATTATACAAAAAAAAAATTCACTTACTTGGCCAAGATGTGCCTCACGGAGAATCCAAGAGAAGCGAGTCCGTGAAGAATCGGCTTCTCGTAACCGCTTGCAACAGCAACGTTCGGGTCAATGTGCAGAGGGTTGTAGTCTCCAGACAACCTACAACAGAAAACACACTTCACTCTAAAGTATCCAACAACTTACTGCAGCTACAACACTAAATAATTCACGGGCCAAAGTTCATATACCAAGGGCATCTTATGAATTTCAATATGCGTAGTTAGGTAACAAAAAATAACTGCTTGCTAACCTTTTCAGTCGCTAAAGGAAGAATGAAACAAAACAGTATTTGGTTGGATTGTCTGGGCCAGGAAGGGATAAAAGTCATAGTCGATAGAGTTATCTTTTTAAATTATGATTAATGGACATGGTTTATCTTATCAATGGTTTAGACTTATTTGCAGATAACAAGACTGCCTTTTAATTTAGGGCTGATTTTTCAATCCTCAGATATCTTTTATCTGAAGAATAACCTTGTCATTTTGACATATTTCCCATACTGAAACTGTCAATGTGCCAAACTTATTCTTCAGATAAAAGTTATCTGACGATTGAAAAATCAGCCCTTATTTAATGATAAGAATACAATACGCATTTTGAAATAAGATTATTGAATTCGTAAAAGATTAAATGGTTATACTAGGCAAACTGTTAAATGCTACTTAGTAAACATAAAAAAATTAAGACTAAATTAATTAAAAACACTTGTCATTCATTAGGTACTGGCATCTCCCAGCTAAAAGGGCGAGGCCTACCCACTAAAACCCGACGGTGTCCTCTAGTTTTTTTTTTTTTTTTTTTTTTTTTTTTTTTTAAGAAAACAAACAGCATGAGTTTATACATGTGAACTTAAAAAATATTTAATATATATATTTAAAAAATATATATAAATAGTTCCTATGAAACGTAGCCGCGAGTTATTGTCCTAAAATTGGACATTCTTCCGGGGCTCCGTCTCAGGCTAACCCTTACGAGCGAGCCGGATTATGGACCTCGAGCGAGCCGGATTAGGGATCTCGAACGAACCGGATTAGGAACCTCGAGCGAGTCGGATTAGGGACCTCTCTTTGTTTTCTAACGTCGAGAAATGCTTTGCGCATACCCACTGGTCGATAGGGCTGGCGAGTGGGTTATGTGGGACTCTCCCCTCCTGCTCACTAAAAACCGACGGTGTCCGGAGCCCAATGAAACGGAGCCGCGAGTTATTGTCCTAGCTTGGATAGTCGTCCGCAGCTCCGCCTCAGGCTAAAAACTTGCTCACGAGCGAGCCTCTCCGGCTCCGAGAATGACTAGGGACCTCCCTAACCTAGGTAGTCTCACCTGTAAAGAGCCGCCTGGTCCTCAGCAGTGCGTTGTTCTACGACCGCATCAGGAGCGCGTTTGGGCGGCGCCTGCACGTCGACAGCTAGGGCACTCTTGCGCGGGCCTCCGAAGCCGCCCTGGCCCACCACGAAGATGTGCTGTTGGGTGCGAGCGACCATTTTCTTGTTCTGGTAGAGCTCGCCTGGCAACAACATTTAATGTAAATTTTACTTCCAGTACATACTACATCCCACTGCAGGGTGAAGGCCTGGGATTGGTGGAAGGATTATAAAGCAAGTGTGGTCGCTGCGTGAGGTTACTAAACCTTTGTTTGTCACCTGTCATCCACTTTACAACGGAGGGAAGTCGAACCTTAACTTCGAACTCCTATGTTCTTATGATTAATTTTGTTGCAGGTCCAATGACAGTTTAACTTTCCCGCGGGATAAACTTGACCTTCACTGGTTGGGTTTTTATTGGCGGTCAAGCTGTAGATACTGGGGCTACACAGGAGTTGCAGCGGTGGGAACGGGAGGTGGGAATAGTCTTGAAAGTATGGTCGCTTATTAACAGATCTTCAGCGGCGTTACTCCGAAAAACGTTATCCAAAGTTTCGAATGTTGCCATCGCTCTCACCCAAAGCCAGATGCCATCATGGACGATGGTGACAGATAGACCCGAAACTACATAAACAACATTTCGAAGTATCCCCGCTGATCCATTTAGTTCCTAGTAAATACACAGGACTCAGTTTTCTGTGTAAATTTTGGCCAACCACCACTTCTTATAAATTATGCTATAATAGCCATACATGTGATACGTGATATGACATAACAAAGTCCAAACAAATTATCGTGGGTACAAAAACCTTCATAAATAGTGTTATCGCAACCATAATCTAATAATATCGCTGATAACGACCAACCACAATAGAGATAATTGTAATAAAAAATGAAATAAAATGCCTACGTCTTGTTTTGTGTTAATTTAAATCCTACTTCAACCATAACCCTGTATAATTTAAGCACTAAGGCGGTGACTGACGGCGGGATTTTTGCAATTTTCGAATTGCTATGCATATGTCACACTGAAATCGACCGCAGACTGTTTATTGCGCTTTCAGTCGCGGTTTCTATCAAAGCGGAGAGAATAGGTGATGTGGAAATAACGAAATCTGACTGGTTACTTAAACACCTTATCTCCTTTTGGTGGAAACGGGGCCTAAGATAACAATTAATGTAACACTCACTGTTAACGATAGCTACGGCACTCGAGCCCTTGTCCAGCAAATCAACCACGTAGGATCTGATCTGGAAGGTGCCTTCGGTGCCGGGGAAATCATCCACGTACTCGATGAATTGCTCGCCGTGAAGGATCTAGAAAAAAAAGTGCAGTCGTATTTTTGAAGGTATTGAATTTTAATTTGCATGAATCGTAGAAGAATTTGATCACAGATCTGTGACGCATCAGTTTACGATAATGTTTTGTCAGAGGCCTAGACAAAGTAACAATGTGACAGTTTTAATGTTTAAATCATTTCACTTAGCAGTTTTTCGCAACTGTCATGATTAGTTTTTTTTAGGGGGCAGGTTAGTTCTAGCCAGGCACTTCAATAGCTAAGCAGTGTCATGGGGGGTCTTTGCCATAATCGCCATTCGCCACCTTTGGCAATCGGTTTAGCTATGGCACAATATGATACGCGGAAGGCAGGCCTCTCGGTGGACCGACTATCTGCTAAAGGTCATTGATGCGGACAGCGCAGAACCAGTCCTTTTAGATATTGTGGGGAAGCCTTTGTCTAGCAACGAACGGCAACGGCACTTTATTACACCGATCTTGTCGCTATGTTCTTCTGATTAATTTCGTTGCGGGTCCAATGACAGTTTAACTTTCCCCCGGGACAAACTTGACCTTCACTGGTTGGGTTACTGGCAGTCAAGCTGTAGATACTAGCTACACAGGAGTTGCAGCGGTGGGAACGAGAGGTGGGAATAGTCTCGTTTCAGCAGCGGACGGCATATGGTTGAAAGTTTAACCACAGAATAATAATAAGTACTACGTACAGAACTTTTACTTCGCAAAGGTATTTAAAAAAAATATGCTCAATGTCATTAACAATTTATGGTGTAATTTAGCTTGTCTCAAGAGTCAAGCACCATTTTGTTGACAAACGTCAGTGATCGGTACTGCGCCGAAGCTAACTCGGCGACTTCGGTAAAATGATGTGACGTGAGGTGCCAAACTGCAGAAAATGGCGGAGGAAATACATGATTTAGCATGAATTATCATGAATTATATTAACTACTTATTTACCTCTCAGTGTCTTCAGGCAACTTAAAAAAGTACATTCTGTGTTTTTATTATTATTTAGGCAGTTAAATACTGCACAGTATTTAGTACACCGTTTTCTTTATTTTCTTCCATCATACACAAGATTACGCGTGCGTGAGTCAATGTTCGCTCGTATTGTCGAATAGTAATCCTGTAGGGGGCCATCGTGCGTGTTTTGTTTTCGATGTAAACTCGCGGAGACGAACAGTCCTAGTTTAACTTTTAACGAATACTGAATCATGTTTGTTTAGGGTTCCGAAACGTTCAGTGCGTCGACCTCAGCTGTTTCATGTACCACTCGCTACAAATAATGTCTCAGTAAATCACCCTATTTACAGAATGTGCAGGGCCTACAATAGTCTTGACGTTGACAAGGACATATTCCAGCATACATTTCGGGTTTTTAAAAATAAATTAAGAAATGCTGATTAGATTGTTGGATTAGTTTTTGTTGTAGCTAACATTAGTTTTTGTTGTTTTATCTAAGCACTTAAGTTATTAGGCCTAGTTGTGTGCAGTTGTAATTGGTCCATAGATTTGTAAGTGATTTGTAGCTGTATTTTTTACTAAATAAGTATAGCCTGACCAGGAACATAAAAACCCTGGCATAGAGACGCGACTGTGTTAAATTAATTGGCCAACTTTATGTATCAGGATTCAGGATTACGGGTTAATTTGATATTTTCATAAATTAACGAAAAAATATTATTATAGGTAACCTGGTTTAAATAAATTAAATGAGACCATCAATCGAGCTAGTAGGATTTATTTTATTAATCATGAATAATCAAATTCAGAACTTGAATATTCAACATTACAACTGCAATGTCTGCTCATGAAAGCATCAAACTCGGTACTTCTTTCCCAATTCCATAAAATTCAACACTTAGAAAGTGACAAAAAAATTTCAAATAGGTACCTAGTTGAAACAAACCACAGCTAATTTTCATAGTGGACTGTACTATACGATAAACATGTCAGTCAATTTGATAACCTTTGTCGGAAACATTATTCAATGAAAATATTGTCCGAACCCTTAGTATTTCTCTTCGACAAATACTTTAACACATTGTGAACCACTTTTCTTTCACGACTATAAAAAGATTTTAGCAATTTTATTCACAAAATCAATTGCGCACATTTAAAATAAAGTTTGTTTACACTTTGACAGCAATAGACTGACATGCAAGTTGACATGTAAATGAAGTTTTCAGTTACTGTTGCCATTAAAAGAAATTAGTACCATTAGTTTTCCGCAACATGGCGAGGGTTTTTATGTTCCTGGTCAGGCTATAGTATTCTATGTACTGTAACTGTACCTATTAATAAATAAATAAATGTCTACTTACGTTGGTAAAGTCAGCGTGCTTTCCAGGCGGCATGGCAGCGGGCACGAGAGGCGCCTCCATACACATGCCGGCTAAGATGAAGTAGCTGGGCAGCGCTGAGAAACTCTCGTGGCTCTCGTATAAGAACTTCAGGTCGGTGGGGTTCTTGACAGACGCGCCGACTAAGGAGAACAGATAAACTCATAAAGCTCATTTATTTTTTGCAAATAGGCTTTTAAAAAGCACTATAGTTTATTAAGTACTAGCTGACCCGGCGAACTTTGTTCCGCCTTAATGGCAATAAATAACGGGATAAAAAGTATCCTATGTCCTACTCCTGGCTCTAAACTACCTCCCTGACAATTTTCAGCTAAATCGGTTCAGCCGTTCTTGAGTTATAAGTGGAGTAATTAACACGACTTTCTTTTATATAATAGACTAGCTGACCCGGCGAACTTTGTTCCGCCTTAATGGCAATAAATAAGCAGACTTTTTTTTAATTTCGAACGGGATAAAAAGTATCCTATGTCCTTCTCCTGGCTCTAAACTACCTCCCTGACAATTTTCAGCTAAATCGGTTCAGCCGTTCTTGAGTTATAAGTGGAGTAACTAACACGACTTTCTTTTATATATATAGATAGATAGAGATAGATCGTTTCATCCACGAAGACACTCACGCGCCCCACCAGACTTCCGCTTATGTTAGTGTTATCGGTACACGCTAAATTATCCATGAGTACACGCACACTACAATAATGACGCTTGGATTGCTCGGATCAAACTCCCCGTACCCCGCGCTTCTCTGGACCAAAAATTGGTGGGGCGCGTCTTCGTAGATGAAACGATCTATACATAGACCCTTTCCAGTGCACTTATTGCACATCCCAGTATTAACCCTACCACTGCGTCGGGACAATAAACGGGCCAGTGCTGAGAAGAAGCAGCGCAAGAAACTCGGTCACTACAAGCTAGTAGTTATGGGAGGAGTTATTGTAAGGACCACAGCAGACATGCTACTTTTATCATCGGCGATTTTACGAATATATCGATGCTGAATTACGTTTTGGCGACTTTGTGCATTTGATTATAGTATCGGAGACGGAATCGCGCGTTTTTGTTACCTAAAAAATTACTAAGAACCTCAAAGAAAAAACGCGTGTGCAAGCGGCATGAAATGTGGTACTTACACGAGGTTTATTGAATAGTAAAAATCGTATGCGTGACAAATTGTCGTAAAACAACAGTTGAATTAATTATACGTGTGTAAATTCTTATACCATAATATGTATGTATTTACTAGTTCCTCTATTACACAGAAAACCCTTGTTCCTTAACACACACTGATCAATGTCAGTTTTTAGTTTTTTAATAGTAATACATACCACTATGATTTTTCAAGGACAAATCTTATCTATTACGGTTTCAAAAATTTTGCAAAATCTCACCTCCGAGAGCATACAACGCCAGATCTTTCGAGTCGTAGCTGTACTCGGATCTGTAGACATTCTTGCCGCCATCCATTTTAGCGCGATCTTCGAAGTCCTACAAGAATTCAAAGAAAAACATTGTTAGAAACATAGTAATTGCAGAAAAACATTGTTAGAAACATAATAATTTGAATTGCGTCATCGATAGATATGTTTATTTGTTTGTAAGTTACTTACTATGGAACAAATTGTTGATGAATAACATTCATATTATTGTCTCAGATAAAGTTTCACATTGTGTCCTCTTTTGTTCTCATCTACATTCGTCGCGGCTTTTGTTTTTAGTTCCAACCGTTACAAAACAGACACATTATAGTGACCATAATAGTAGTCTTGGCTCTTGGAATTTTGAGTTTTATTGCCTTGACTTAAGGTATAAAACTAATCGATAACATTACCTGTAACTTTTCAGCCAGATCGATCGTGACTTCGGCGATTTTGTCCAAGTGAGTTGCGTTTTTCATGTCCACGACCTGTGGCCAGAACTGTTTGACCGACTCGATAGTGACGGCATCGGAGGGCGTTTTCCTATGAAATAGAGAAGTCAAATTATAGAGAACCTCCTCTCTTTTGTAGTAGGTTAAAATCGTTCACAAACAGTAGTTACGTAAAGATAGTTACAGTTATCACTTTGGTCGTTATCTTTATTTAAAATACCTAAGGTTTTCTTTAGATTATGTAGTGATATCTATGTATCTACATCACGACACCACATGCCATGCCAATAAAAACAAAATTATGGCCTCTGATAAAAACCGAGGGGCATGTCTCGTGCGGCAGTCTAAGGGGGAAGTAGAATAGAAAGAAGGGGTGCTTTGTGCGAAAAATCGTTTCAAAGCGTCTCGTATAAAGCGCACCATATTCTATCGATAATTACATAATTCGATTTGAAACGCCCATTTGGATTTTTGCACATCTCACCGCATCGTATCTCAAAAAGTATTCAAGAGTCATCGTATCTCAAGAAATGATTTCCCTATAAAATGTTTGCCCCGGTTAGTGCTTTCACATTAGCCGACTTTAGCAGCGCGACAAACGCGCGACAGACGCACTGCTGATAATTTCATTGGTCCAGTACTATATGACAGAAAATGCCTGCCTTCACATTGTGAAAACGCCGTACATCTAAAACAAAACACGCACGATGGCCCACCTACAGGATACTATTCGACAAGGCCTCACATACGAGCGAACATTGACTCACGCACGCGTATTCTTGTGTATGATGGAAGAAAATAAAGAAAATGGTGTACTAAATACTGTGCAGTATTTAACTGCCTAAATAATAATAAAAACACAGAATGTACTTTTTTAAGTTGCCTCAAGACAGTGCGAGGTAAATAAGTAGTTAATGTTATTCGTGATAATTCATGCTAAATCATGTATTTCCTCCGCCATTTTCCGCAGTTTGGCACCTCACGTCACATAATTTTACCGAAGTCAGCCCTATAGCTTCGGCGCAGTGCCGATCACTGACGTTTGTCAACAAAATGGTGCTTGACTCTTGAGACAGGCTAAATTACACCATATTGCTAATGACATTGAGCATACATTTTTTTAAATACCTTCGCGAAGTAAAACTTCTGTACGTAGTACTTATTATTATTCTGTGGTAGTACTTATTATTATTCTGTGTTCTGACAGTCTAATGTGAAAGCGGTTGGCTGGATCTTACCACTAGATAACTAGATCATAGAAACGTTTGAAAAGAAGGTGTGGAACGTACTTAAGAGGGGTGCCGACTGATCGCACGTAGTGCAGCTTGCTGGCATAACCCAGGGTGGAGTCGATGACGCTGCCGTTGCCTTCGAACGACTCGTGGACCATGTACGCCTGAAATAATAATAATAAATAATAATCTAAAAAAAGCGTAAATATTTTTGCCTGCGTGAGTTCCGGATCACATTAAGAATTGACCTGTGTCGCCTTTCCTATAACAGGGGGAAAAAATAAACTAGGTGGTTTCCCCCTATTATAGTTTATGGTCATGGTCATGGTCAACTGGTCAAGAGACCATGATAATAAAAACAAAATTAAATAATTAGTGAAAAGGTAACAGACAGTTACTTTCGCATTTATGATATTAGTATAGAAGTATGGATGGATACGGATCATGGCTTCGTGCGGTTTACCGCAGTGTTCATTAATTAAGTCATGTTATAAGGCAAACACGTTCTCGAAACGCAAGTTCATTTAAATTCTTAGTTCAAATGTCAACATTGTGTTTACTTAAGCATATAATATTTATAACGAAAATAAAGTTGAGAGAGTTGGCTACAAAAGCCAGCTATTTATTTAATTCTATATTTCCCACATTTCAAAATACTATACACTATCAATAATTAGATCAAGTGACAAAATAAGTAGGTACCTAAAGTACAGCTAGGTAGGTGTTTAAAGTACAGCATAATATCTGCGATTATAATCATGCTTACATAATAACAGATAAACGTTTTAGCGCCTTCATGTTTGTCGTAAATTGTTATTTATACACAGTATCTATTGAACGTATATCGCAAAGATTGAGCGATGTTGAACAAAAAGTTTTCAGATTGAAATTATTACTTAGGCTGGATTGCGCCATCTTTAAAGACGTTTAAAGTCTGTCAAACTCCATATTACATTTATTATAACCATGCCAAAAGGTGGAAGATGGAGATACTAAAATACTTGTAATACCTACATTTACCCATGTTCGCAAAATAAATATATTTGATTTGATTTGATTTGATTTGATTTGATTTGATTTGATTTGATTTGATTTGATTTGATTTGATTTGATTTGATTTGATTATATTATATGTCTAAAGGCTTTCCGTCAGTCTGAAAGTGAATAACTCTTAGGCCCAGAACAGACGGTGAAACGCAACTGCAACGAAACTGCAACTTTCTGATGATTCTTATGAATGAAACTGAAACTGAAAGTTTCAAACTGGTCGCGTCATGTGTGGTCTCTAAACGGACGCTATGGCAGAAACTTAGATGCAACTCAAAAGTAACTAGCAGTTGCAGTTGCGTTTCACCGTCTGTTCTGGGCCTTACTCCTAACCAGTGGGGCTACTCTCTAAGAGCGCTTTCATATAAGGGCGTTAGTAGCGCGACTGCAGCACGGCAGCGGCGTTTTTATAATGTGAAGACATGCTTCCGCTGTCATAAAATTTTCGGCAGCGCGTCTGTCGCGCGTTTGTCGCGCTGCTAAATCGCCTAAATGTGAAAGCGCTCTAAGACGTTACTCTAGGTTTCGAATACATTAATCGAATCGAACATACGTTAAATTTTGCGCATAAGCAAGATATTTCATCATTTTTAGATTTTAAAGACAAGGCAATAAGATTCAAAATAACATCTTATGCAGGGGAGACTCTTGAACAGATAATGGCGATATAGTATCTAATAGATACCTTATCACATTTTATTACGAATATTCGAAGTCAAAAATTTGACTATTCATATGGACAATTAAATAGCTCTTACAAATCGTCAATTAAAATTTCAAGTAAAACAATTATTTAGTACTTGCTGACGGTCACAGCAGGTAGTGCCAGCAATATACTTTATCACACTATTTTGAATCTTATTGCCTTGACTTACGATCCTAAAAAATGTACCTAAATAAAAGTCTTACCACAACAGGAGCGATGAGCTCTGGCTTCATGGCTTGGAACATTTCAGGGGGGAGAATGTCTTCTGTGAGACGAGACGCGGCGGTCGGGACGATTGTGTTCACCTTGATGTTGTATTTGTCCCCCTCCAAAGCTAAGGTGTTGGCGAAACCCACCAGACCCATCTTGGCAGCGCTATGGAACAAAATAATCNGTAATTGGAAGAAAAAAAATTCTATAAAAAATTTAAAAAAAATCTCAAAAATTTTTTGACCTCTTTTTTGTCGATAAAAATAGGTCTAGTTTCATCTATTTTCATATGTACACTTTAACGTGACTCACACTGTATAATAACAGATAAACGTTTTAGCGCATTCATGTTTGTCGTAAATTGTTATTTATACATAGTACCTATCTATTGAACGTACGTATATCGCAAAGATTAAGCGATGTTGAACAAAAAGTTTACAGATTGATTCAAATTATTACTTAGGCTGGATTGCACCATCTTTAACAGACATTAAAAGTCTGTCTAACTCCATATTATATTTATTATATTAATATGCCTAAAGGCTTTCAGTCAGTTTGAAAGTGAATAACTCTTACTCCTAACCAGTGGGGCTACTCCCTACGACCGTTTTTTACATTAGGGCGATTTTTAATCTGAAGGCATGCATCCGCTGAATTCCGCTGTCATAAAGTATGAAATTTTCGGCAGCGCGTCTAAATGTGAAAGCGCTCTAAGACATTACTCTAAGTTTCCAATACATTAATCCCTCCCACGCAAAGCGAGATGCCTTAACAGTAGTGACAGATAATAAAAAATACGTAAACGTCTCTAAAACATACGTTAACTTTTGCGCATCAGCAAGATTTTTCATCATTTTGAGATTTTAGAGACAAGGCAATAAGATTCAAAATAATAACATCCTATGCAGGGGGGACTCTTGAACAGATAGCGATATAGTATCTAATAGATACCTTATGCCTTATCACATTTTATTACGAATCTTCAAAGTCAAAAATTTTACCATTCATATGGACGTTCATATAGCTCTTTCAAATCGTCAATTAATATTTTAAGAAAAACAATTATTTAGTACTTGCTGACGGTCACAGCAGGTAGTGCCAGCAATATACTTTATCACGCTATTTTGAATCTTATTGCCTTGACTTACGATCCTAAAAAATGTACCTAAATAAAGGTCTTACCACAACAGGAGCGATGAGCTCTGGCTTCATGGCCTGGAACATTTCAGGGGGGAGAATGTCCTCTGTGAGCCGAGACGCGGCGGTCGGGACGATCGTGTTCACCTTGATGTTGTATTTGTCCCCCTCCAAAGCTAAGGTGTTGGCGAAACCCACCAGACCCATCTTGGCAGCGCTATGGAACAAAATAATCTCGATATGTAATGTGAGCCTCGCAGAGTTGATGGCCGCTAGGGCAGAAAAGTTCTCGAGTAGCGACCACTGGGCTGGAACGGGACTATTCCCACCGCTGCAACTCCTGTGTAGCCAGGATCTACAGCTTGACCGCCAATAAAAACCCAACCAGTGAAGGTCAAGTTTGTCCCGGGGGAAAGGTAAACTGTCATTGAACCCGCAACGAAATTAATGAGAGAACATAGGGGTTCGAAGTTCCACTGGGCTGGAAGACGTAGTGTGGGCACGCTCTTCACTAGGTGGACCGACGTTCTGGTGAATGTCACTGGAGGTGCCTGGATGCGGGCGGCGAAGGACCGGTTGCCGGTTGTTTTGGAAATCCTTGGGAAAAAAAGGCTTCCCCGCCTTTGTCCAGCAGTGAACGTCATTTGGCTAAAACGAGGCTATTCTCTAACGATTAATAATGTCGAAAAATAGAGGGTTCCTGTTTGAATATGTAGTAGGAATATTTAACAATTATTGTAATTTATATTGCTGTACCCAACCGGGTATGCATTTGTATGTTAGTACATAGTATGTACCTTATAGTACCCTACATTTATGTGCAATAAATAAATAAATAGTTGACAGTACTAGTCTATTTGCCAACAACATGTTGGTACTTAGTGACATTTACGTCACCAAAACTTTAACCCATCCGGGCCGATGTCAAAAAGTCACTAACTAAAATAATCTTTATTTTTATAATTTAACAAGCACTTCTAGCGGATGTCAGTATTTCTTACATTATTTTTAAACTTCATGTCCAATGATATTGTTCATAGAGATGTCTAGTCAGTTATTTATAAACAAATAATGTCAACAGTTTAAAGGCTTCATGAAAGAATACGTGTAAACAAATACTTGTTAGTAGCAAACAATAGAATAGCTCTTTGTGATAATGATGTCTCACCTCGGAGAGAATGTAGCGATTTGACGTCCTCCATTTACAATTGATGCACCGTTATGACTGGTCAACAATAACACTTGTTTAAACTGCCTTTGCTTGACCAAATCCGAAAATATTTTTATCATATTAAAAACAATTGAAGAACAGATATAGGTACTTCAAACACAACGCTTCTTACAGTGTATTTTTGTCTTTGTATATTTTATAATCAAATTTTATCAAGAATTTATTACTGTAGTTATCCGAGATAAAGAGCTATACGTATAAACTGTGAGCCGTAAGAACCGGCAAAGGTCTTTTACAGTATAATTTTTGGTTAGCGACTAAAGTCCTTGCATCGTAACATTACTTGTTATGTCAATGTAAAATATACAGTAACCCTTTTGCTTTAAGGTCGCCGTTCCATCGGCGACTTTATAACATACTATTAAGTAATATTACTATGTAGTTGTGTTTGAATATTTAACAGAAATGGGTAATTTAATTTTAAATGGCTGCTTCGTCTAGTTTCAATGACGAGCTAGTATGACACTTGAACTAGAATGACTTGCTACTTTCACTGCTTATGTAGGTAAGTAAGTTCAGAATACAAATAGTAGGTATATGTAAGTGTGAGCTAGGTAGATATCAACAAACAAACAACTCACCTATGAACAGAGAGAACAGCCCCAGATATATGCAAATTTCTCTCCTTAAGGTGGGCCTAGAATTTTACGCGAATGAAGCTGCGGGCTAATACTTGCTCATAAATAGTAAAACCCACGTCCTTTCGCTTGCCGGGTGATCCGTATTAAATCACCTGAAATTGTTAAACTTATCGAAATTTTTAAGTTATCTTACCCTGAAAGATTGTTTTTCAAGTTGAATCATTCATCACAATCACATAACGCAAGAAATTGTTTACTGTTTAGCATTTGTGAACTCATGTTCACTTCAATATTAAGTTGTTTATATTGACATTAAATGTTTAGACATAAGACTGAATGTTATCTATTACGTTTATATTTCTGCATTAAACTATGACCCCATTTGACGATAGTAATTAACAATGATTTGTTCTAAACACCCATTTAAAATTCAACTCATTAGAATTCTGTTGATTTTGAGTTAGTAGCTTCATGTAATGTAATTTTAAGACTAACTTTAGTTTTAGATAAAGCTTATGTTCTACTTTCTATCTGTTACAACTGTTATGAAGTTTAAAAAAAACCCTTTATAAGGCAGTGGGAATATAATTCCCACCATTTTTTAACCATATTCACATGTCATAAGGTCCAAAAAAAATTAAAAATAAAAGCCTCAAAAGGGTTAAATCTATTAAATCTCACCTGTAGTTGCTCTGGCCGAAGTTGCCGTAGATACCAGCATTGCTGGAAGTCATGATGATCCGTCCATACTTCTGTTTCCTGAAGTAGTCCCATGCTGCGTGTGTGGTCTTGTATGCTCCTTTCAAGTGAACAGCGTGGATAAGGTCCCAGTCCTATTAAACCAAAGCTAGAGTAAATATATGATAGACTCAAGTACACAAACTTTCCTTCATGCATAAACGTTTTAGTCCCATTTAGTACTACATATTTAGTACCATTTAGTACCATTAAAAAGCCTTTAATGTTGTGAAAAGAGAGCATATTTTGATATCTCTCTTTCCATTTTACCGCATTTATATCAAAATATTACAGTCAAATAATAATGTTACAACATACCTGCTCTGGCAGTTTAAGGAAACTCTTATCACGGAGGATGCCAGCGTTATTGATGAGGATATCAATTCGGCCAAAGTTGTCAATAGCTGTTTTGATGATCTTTTCTCCTTCCACAACAGAGTTGTAATCGGCTACTGCCACTCCACCTAAGATTTAAAATAATACACAATCTAATTTATGAAACATATTTTGAAAGAATAAAAATTTTTTTACTGCGCACTTCAAAATTTTATATTTTTAAATTAAACCTGTAGTAAGTTTAATACAAATCAAAGTATATGTATGACATTTTGTGCACATCAGATGTTGTATTAAGTAATTTTACCCATAACATAAAGAGAATGTTGTTTGAAAACAACTTTTACCAATTCTCATAACAAAATTTACCATGCATGTATAAAGTTTCTTTTCCATACTTTAGAATAAGACAAAATTGTTTTCTAGATCAATATTACATAAACCTGATTAGACAATCAATGATAAAAGTATTATGTTGGAATGTAGGTATGTTACTGGTATAAAAAAAATCTTTATAGATTTTACTGTAAAATAATTATCTATTGAAACACAGTTTAGTATAATTCACAGTCTAATCATTTGCAAAATCAAAGTTATTCATGGTGTAAGTAACATAATCAAAGTTCAAAACAATTACTAACCTTTGTCCTTAATTTCCTTAACAACGGCGTCGGCAAAGTTAGATTTGCCGGAGCCATCTCTGGCGGATCCGAGGTCATTCACAACCACTTTAGCACCTCTAGAGGCCAACAGCAGAGCGTACGCCCTGCCCAAACCTCCTCCGGCACCGGTCACGACTGCTACACGTCCGTCGAATCGCAGTTGGTCCATCCTTGCCGGCAAACAAACGCAAAATGAGGCAGGCGAGACTCACACAACGAAATTTAAACAAAGCTATTAAAATGAGCAAAGTCCACTATCAAAAGTGCAAAATAACGACGCGATAAGATACAAATTTATGACGATACAACATAGTTATCAACAATTTACCTGGATTGAACACGAAACTTAGTAGATATTTATATAATTCTGATATAGGCTCAGAATTTATGTAGGTAATCTACGTAAAAAGTTTATTTTATTTGAGAAAATTACAAAACAAACTCGTCTCGTCGTTCGTTTGACAACTAACTTTTTTTTTTAATTGACAACGTCATTTTATCAATTTAACTAGAGGTGTGTAATAACGGATATTAAATCAAATCAAAACTTGAATTTCGGACCTTTTATTGGTATCGTTTGATAGAGCTCGTGAAGCACTTTTTTTCTATATCTTGGACAAGGACCAGTGTTTGCCAGAAGGTTACTTTTGTAACCTTTTAGGTTACTTTTGAACTGCTGTGGTTACTTTTAGCTTACACTAATGAAAAGGTTACTTTTAGGTGATTTTTCAGAAATTGTAGAATTAACTTTACAGGTTATTCAGTAAAAAATATTAATAGTGACAATTTAAAAATTATGTCATAAAGTGCATTTAAACTTGAATTTGATTTATTATTTGAGTATTTATATGAGTTTTAGCGAATATTTTTCGATAATAAAACGCGTGAAAAAATAAAAACCATGAAACGTTTTTATACTACTGGTCACTTTTCGAATTTAGATGATCAATTGTATTCNCTTGCAACGGATGAGCTAGAAGGCAGACATGGAGCTGGTTGGCTTAGAACCCGGTGTGACGAAGGCAAATACTTGATTCATCTGTGCTTGGTTCAGGTGGCATGCTGATTACAATGCCTACTTTATAAAATTACATTATTGCATTAAAAATCTAATCTGTCTTTCTTGTGATGCTTTTGGGTTATAGATTTATGTAGAAAAATGACAGAACTGTAGTCTGTATGTATGACGAGTTTTGCTCGATTTTAGGCAAAAAACTGATTTATCTGTGCGTGATTCATATGGTCAGGGCCCTATATGAATCATAAAATGAATTAGTTTTTGGTCTATCAAGCACCAAAAAAGGGTTTTTTAGCTAAGAATGACATCCCAGACTGCATCTCACTTAAGACCAGGTGCGATTGAATTGTTATGAATAAAAAAAAAACACTATCATTTTTATGCTAAGAAAAGAATAATTTATGTGTTTAAACAGTAAATAAGTAGTATATTCGTTAAGCTAGCAACCATAACACAAGCATATTTGTTGCTTATTTTGTGGCTAAATGGCGTTGTATAAAATTGCCCAACGATTTATTTATTTTTATTATTATTTCAGCTACACTTAAGGCGTCCATAGCACATAATAATATACTGCTGAGCATAGGCCTCCAATGATTTCGAGATTAACTGATTGCCATTGCCACAACCTCTATAAGCTCATCTCACCTTCTTCACCTTGTAGGTAGACGTCTTAACAACAATAGCTTGGATAAGTAATACAGCTCGGTAAAGTCATCTAAAATACCTTAGTGCCATAAGATGAAAGTCTACATCCAGTGTGTGTTATCAGTGATGACAAATTGTACTGAAAAGCGGCCTCTTACTGTAGGCTTACGAACCACAAAGTTGCATAGTGTACTATGGAGTGAACTATGCTTTTTTTTTTATGCAATCGAATCTGAAATGAGGAGATCCGTAAACGATCTAAAGTCGCATGGTGGCATAGTCCGATGTTTTAGCAAGCTGAAGTGATAATGGGCAGGACACATAGTATACAGAAGTGATGGCCGATGGGATAGCACGTTTCTAGAGTGGAAGCCACGTGCCGGAAAGCTCAGTGTAGAACGTCCTCCCACAGGAAGGCGCAGGATGCAGGCCGCTACCAACCGGTCATTATGGAAATCATTGGGAGAGGCTTATGTTCAGATGAAATGATTATGATGATGACAAAATATTATGGATGTATACTAAAGTTAAAAAAAAAATGTTTTTTCACGAATTATTGTGGAATCGTTTCATTTTTTCATAACAACAGATCATTGTTTTTGTTATAATATGATTATTTTCTTAATTTAGAGCCAATTGTACATAAAGATTATAAATTTTATTTCTGTTTTTGATTAATATGTAACAAATTCTGATTCATATGGGCACAAAATATTTGAACGTCGATATCTTGAAAACTACTTTACAAAAACGAGTCCCTTATCCAAATATATGTTATTGGGTGTACCTATTTTCATATGAGTCTATGTTACAAACCTCAAATTGAATTTGAAATTTGTCCATATGAATCAGCCGAAGAATGCGATTTCGAAGAAGTGCCCTTTAACTAGAGGTGTGTAATAACGGATATTAAATCAAATCAAAACTTGAATTTCGGACCTTTTATTAGTATCGTTTGATAGAGGTCGTGAAGCATTTTTTTTCGATAACTTGGACAAGGACTTTCTATTTCCCATGCAGACATTAATGATAAAAGCGAGGTACCTAAATAGCCAGTGCATTCGATAATTAGTCACTTAACATCAGAAAACAAAATAAATGAGTTTTATAAGAGTTTTTATGATTTTTTTATGTGTTGTTTGCGTTCTGTATTTAAATATGTATTAAATAAGAGCGAGTACATGTTCGCTTCAACTTTCGTATATTTGCTCGGCTTTCTCTACATATGGCGAAAATTATCTAATCCAATACTAAAAAAAATACTAAGAAAATTTTTTTTTTACGTTTTTTTGACATTTGTTGTACTTTGTCTATGGTTGGTTCGTTCCGTTCGTTTCATTCAATTTCGAACCGAAATTAGTTTGTTTACTCTTACATTTTAGTGAGTTTTTCAGTGTAAAATTGGTGGCCTTTATGTTGGCTTTTATTGGTACTTAGGCAAAACTACAAGATGTCTAGCTATGGGCAAGAACCTTCTTGGCAACGAGATGATAATATGTATCAAAACAACATCGTTGTCTCGGATCCCTTAGCAAGTGTGTAGTCTATTTTTGTTTTTATTTATAAAAATCACAACGACATTGACTTGTTATGTGTATCTTCTTATTGCAGTTATATACAATGAAGGCCTGTGGCGTCTAAACAAAGTATCACCAATGTACAACTTGCAGTACGGTGCATTGAAGCTCAAACTATATGCATCTAAAATTCGTCAATCGCTTGTGAGCTCAGTTGCTGCTAACACTCTAAAATACACTGTCACAATTGAGGAGCAGCCACATCTCAAATATTCTGAGGAAGATGCTAATGGTATAGTGGTAAGTGTTTTGAAGCTGTATCTTAATAATGTAAGCTCTAATTATATCATAAATACCACAAAACCTAGCTCATAATTATGTACACTGACATAAAAATAGAGCTAGATGCTAACATAATATTTCATGATTTGTAACATATTTTAGGTAACAGTGTCATCAACCCAAGAAAACAATGCTAAGACTAAAGTGGCTTATTCCGCAATATTTGTATCATGGGGTGTGAGTTGCGCTGTAGATGGAGCCACACATCTGCCCTACATGCTGGAAAAAGGGGAACAAAGAGTGGGCACTGCTGTAAAGGCATTCATGCAGACTATGTTTGACTGTCATATACATCAATTTGTGTTTACACAGGTATGCATATCATGCAGGTATTATATATAAATATATATTTACCATTATATGTATAAAATCCAATTAATGATGTAGTACTTTGTTAGTTTGTCCAGGTTTCCTTACACATGTAATTTTAATGGATTTTCATTTTCAGCGGCAACTATTGGAATTTGGCTTCACTTTTATTGAAAGTGACACATCCCGAACTTCTGACCAGTTTACATTCATCTACAAAACTCCTCGAGTTGACCACAAAGATAAGCTAAAGTTATCATTTGACATTGGGGATGTCCATATAATATGGAATGGGTAAGATTCTCTTTGTAAATAATTTTCAATGCAGTAAATAATTATTTTATTTAAATATCAGTGGTCCTAGTGGCTATCTGTAGGGAACTACATTAACCTACTCCTGTGTCCATTTCTGTGTATAGAACAGAGTCAAGTACTTTTCCTCATATCTATCAATTGAGCAAAAAGATCCTTCTCAGTAATAGTTTAATATTTTTATTTTCAGTATAAAAGAAGAAGCAGTTGAGAAATCAGAACTTATAAATCGAGCATACCAAATACTTCAGAATCAAATATTCTACATGATCATGTTGGACATTACTGTGTTCGATTTATGTGAAATTTCCTTACCAAAAGCAGAAGTCAAAAGCAGTGGCATCGTAAAAATGAAAACTCCAGAAATGGTAAACTGTGTTTTTACGGTTCTGAATGAAATTAGCTTAATCAAAACAATATCTGATACAGACTCTAGTGTAGGTTCAACATAGTATTGATTACAATTTTTGACTCATTTGTCATGTTTTATTTGCTAATTTATTTCATACACAAAAGATTTTCTGTGATGCAGATCTGGTCCGCATGCAGGCATTTCATTATTGAATACGTTTTTCCTCTCACAATTTTAGGTTTTACTAATCTAGATAAGGATTATGAAATAAAAATGTTATTGGTTTTTCAACATTTACTTTCATGAATTACACCTTACAAATGTGTTTGCATATTGTAACCTTATAAAATATTTATCATATCATTACAATGTGCTAAACTTAAAAATAACCTATTTTGTAATCACGTCTTTCATTATCTTGCAAGCAGTCCTTTCCATTCTTTGAGTTTATAATGAGATGTTCAATGTGTCATTTAAATTTGTTCTTGTGCAAGATTATTATAAAATAGGCCACCACCAAGAAGCATTAAAATTACGCCTGGAGATTTTTTCACTGATTAAAAACTATTTAATCCAACTGTAGTATAAAACTTACTGAATATGATGTAGGTAATATGATAAATATGATTCATTTCAAATCAATATTACAATTTTTAAAAAACAATCACATAAAATTACCATTGAAATCTCATTGCAGCTTGTCAGGTACACACCTGCTTTACAACACAAGAATATTGTGGGCATAGACTTTATAAAATAAAAGAAAAAGCATCTTTTATAACGCAAAATATAATTGTAGCTAATAGATGAACCTGCTCAAAAACAGACTAGCCATATGAATTAAAATAAACTATTTAATAAGTCAAACATTTAACTATTCACATCGAAATTCAAACCGCAGCAGGATTACGCCAATTTACCACATCTCTTGCGTTATAACCAATATAACACAAACATTGGACTACATTATATGAATACACAACATTCATGTACTTTTATATAAATGCCAGATTAAAAATATTGTGAAACCTTTAATAAATATGCAAAACAAAATATACACCAACATACATTACACACAAACTGCGTAAAGCATTTTGCGATGATTTACAAGTTCGACTACCTACGTTATGTAGTCGCCATAGTCGTGCCATAGTAATCTAATGTAATTTATTATTTACGACTGAGAAAAATCTATTGATTTCGTTATTTCTACTGTTTATAAACAACACTATTTACGATTCTGAATTAAGATATCTTTCATTGTCGGTAACATGGTCCAAATCACATTAATTTATAACTATCAATTGGAAGTCGACACTATGTAGGTATTTTATAAAATGTTTAGAGACAGTTTCTATTGAAATACAACTTACGCCATCCTAGATTAGTAGATGAAGGAAATTCCTTCCTATTTAAAAAAACATGCGGATTTATAAACATGATACATCTTAGTTGATAAGCCATCTCATAAAAAAGTCATGTGACTGCGTATTTACTAAAGTAGGCGTTGCCTTTGACATATCGTTAGAAAATTGTTGACTCGAGCATAATCTACTCCTATTGATACAATACTCACTTTAGCACCTCCGTAATGACGCTTAGTTATGAAATTCATGAAGTCAATTTCTAAAGCCCGGTCTGTGAGCACGTAGAATTTGACCAATGACCCCTAGCTACCCATCCTTGTCGCTCCCGCGTAATTATATTGCTGTCGCGACTGTGCGACTGGCACCCGCAGTGAGTGTGCGAGCGCGATAGTAACATAATTACGCGCGAGCGATAAGGATGGGTAGCTTGGGGTCATTGGCCAAATTCTACGTGCTCAGACCAGACTATAGAAGTATTTCTTATTACAAAACTTTCACTCCGTAATAGAATACGATAATTATCTATTTAGTACATGCCCGAGTGGCATTAGGATAAAGTAGTGAGTTGTAAGACGCGTACTATATGCAGCATATAAAATAAATGTAATAATCCGGCGTACATTAAGTTTCATTTTTCGTACCAATGTTCGTTGCACACAGCTGCACCCCTCCTGAAAATAAAATCGTAAAAATTATTCATTCAGGTTGGCTTATACGTATTTGTAGCAAGAATAAACTCAGGCTCTGTGGTCAAGTCAGATAAACTCAGTCACCAATAAATTTCCTGCCAGTTATAAACAAGTGAAGCGAGTTTCTATGTCAATCAAGTAACCAGTGACGGATTTACAGTTTAGCCGCCAGTAGGCAGTTAGATCCAAGCCTTTTAATATTTATAATGTAATCACGATATCAATCCAATTAGTTGGCTAATTTAACCAGTAGGGGTAGGACGCGCGCCACGTTAAATTTTTATCAAGGCATTTTATCTATATTGCACGATCATACATTAAAATTGTCGTCTAAAATCATAGACAACATCTTATCATGGCGTGCACCCTAGCGCATCTAATAGCAGCTGCAACAGATGTATGATACCAAAATGTACTAAACTAAATATACATTGTAAATGGAGATGAGCAGGACACATTGCACGGATGAACCACGATCGCTGGAGACCCCGCAATAACACCCGTGATAGAGGAAGACCGCCTAAAAGATGGACAGATGCCTGCAACAAGCTGGAATAAACTGGATGCAAGTGGCCAGTAGGCCTAAGATGCGCGCCGTGATAACTTTTATCGACGTTAAAATGTATGGGCAAAATCGACAAAATGGCGTGACAACCGTTTATCGCGGCGCGCATCTTAGGCCTACTGGGGCAGAAGTTGGTGGAAGGTTGAAGAGGAGGCCTATTTTCGAAGACGAACTCCAAAGGCTGATATAGATAGATAGAAATATACATTAGCTTACATCAGCCCATCAGGCGGCGCTCCTTCAGTGTGTGCATTGCAGGGCCTAACAGCANGTGAAGTCAGAAAATTGTTATCTTCATTTTAATTTTCATACAAATCAGATTTTATAAAAAATATTTTGTATGAAAATTTAAAAAAATCACATTGATATCAAATTTCTGACTTCACCATACCATTTATATGCCCTAGTGTCGGCTCATATACCCAAATGGGTATATGAGGGTGTTAGGTATTTACCTACATGTATAAGTCTGGCGCTTTTAACTCAGTCAGTGCCTGAGGTATGCGAGTGTTTTTGGGACGACTAACGTCAGCGAGACTTCAAAATGTGCTTTAGGGGGCGTAGGGTGAGTTTACGTCAAACGCATTCAATATCGACTGCGTTAAAAAATATAACAAGATTTTAGTCCTTGAAAGTTTCAGCTAGGGGCGCTGTCCGTCATACATTAAATGTCACTTTTTTACGCAGTCGATATCGAATGGGTTTTATGTACAGTCTAATTTTTTAGAAATCAGCAGAAATGTCATCAAACATGGCCAACTGACATAAAAATATTTTTAGTCTGTGAACTAGTGATGCGACAAAACCTCTCGTTAATCGCGAAGTGAAATTATTGTAGTACTTGCGTATCATCGCCGGGTGATCGTCAAAATAATAAAAATATGCAACAAAGTCGCAACATTGAATGTGAACTGATTATGAAATTTTCGAGAACAGGAAACAAACTGTATGCACAGATGTAATCAAAAAACACACTGTGGACAGTCAAACAATCAATGATATCTGTAAAGTTATTAAACTTCAAATAGTTGCAAAAAGTTCTGTTTGACAGTGTTGCTACTAGTGACATCTCGCTCGCTCAGTCCCTTGTTGCTCTATTCCGTTAGGAAGGTAATTAATAAGATGCTATCAATTAAAAGAAGATTTTTTTTCTTTTATTAATAAGCAATGGAACAATACGTAAGCATAATAATTGCATAAAAAAGGAAAATAATTTCGTTTAAATAAAACCGACTAAAAATTGAACTGACTTCGAAAAAGTATACACTAAAAGTAGAAAAATAATTTTACGTTACCTCCAATATTGTCGAAGTTATCGCTGGAAAACTTAACAAAGTATCGTATACTTTTTATTTAAAATTAATCAGTAATCGGAATAAGTGAATACTTAAAGAAATATCGATTAAATTTACAGATTATTGTCTATGACTCACAGGTTACAGCACTGATGTGTCAGAGACAAGTCATAGACAATATGGAGATAACACATGATTTTAAACGTCAAGTCAATTTGACAATCTCACAAATTTTCATCGTCCACGTATTTTGCTAAAATAATTTGTTTTAAAGATTGATTTCAAACTTGTATAAACGTGAAAATAAAGTTGGTTTCATGGGCTTGTTAAATAATGTGTATGATATTATGAACACGTAAGTGATTATGGTGTAATTGTGTATGAAAGTGTTTGTTTACATCTCTGCTGGATTCTAAAAAATCAAGGTATAAATGATTTCAGCAACTAAATAAAAAAGTATCTTTTTTCACTCCTTCCATACTCATTACTTCCTTTCTTAATAATTTACTTGAAATAAATAATCGTCATGCACGCGATTCTAAATAAACGTAATTTTAATCGTTAATCACAGGTAGTAAGCAGGTGTGATAAACTTGTATCATTAAAAAGTACTGTAAACAGATGACAAATGCTCTTTACACACAGGTTCATTATTGCTTACATTTCTAGCTCTCTACCTTAATAACTTTAACGTCTTTACGATAGTAATTAATAAAATAAAACTTAACTTACTTAATACTGCAATCTGAACGCCTAGAAAAAAATCACCGACAAACTCTTGTTCCTTCACTTTCGATAGGAGATAAAAGATAAGATTTTGTTTATAAACTCGATTGATTTTAGAAACTAAACAAAATTTCATATCTTTTAGCACTTCTTTCATACCAATTACTTACATTCTTCATAATTTACAAAAAATAATTCATCGTCTTCTTTGGGATTATTTTAAATGAACGTAACTTTATTACACGAAATAACTATCAAAATGTATTGATATTCTTATTGTTTTATTAATAACGATTGCGTATCTACAATTCATTAGTAGGGCAAAAAAAGAATGAGACATGTTTAGGCTCCTTAAGAGCATTTGACGATTTGCAAGAACTAATTTAATTAGTCTAAACAAATAAAGATAATTTTGATTTTGATTTTGATTCTTTGAGTATTTTGGAAGCTTGCTAAGAGCATTAATTATTATTAAGTATACTAGGACGGATCTTTAGTTAACAAAGATTAAACAAAGTATTTTTCCCGTCGCTTTTACATTCTCATTCGTTGACAGACTTGCATGTACTAAACTAACGAAATTAAAGTTTTGTTATGTTAAAAATTACGTAAATTTGTAGTTGAAAATGAAGAATAAAACAAAGCCGATTCACGACGTCATTCGATAGACACGTAGACGTATTGATTGACTGTGATTGGTCAGTCTCGCCGCGCGGGGCAGCGCCTTTGTTGCTAGCCCGCTCGCGCCTCGCGTTGCTCGGCGCTCGCGCGGCCAGTTCGGTTTCTTCGGTCGTCGAATGCGCTTGCGACTTTTGATTGTTTTCTCGTGCGGATAGTTAAGTGTGTGAACGTGTAATAGTGAGTGTGGTAATAGTGAATGAGTGTTAGAAAGATGCCTAACCATACGTACAGTGCTCGTGAGTACGTAAACATGGTTTACTGTTATGGGAGGGCACGTGGAAACGCATCTGAAGCCCTGCGGGCTGTAGGTATCGGGCTGAACATCCTACAGCGCACCACCGTACTGATGCACGTATTTTTGTTCTGGTTGTACAACGTCTGTTGGACAATCAGCCGATTGTGCCTCCGTCCGCCTCGTCTANATGGTATGGTGAAGTCAGAAAATTGATATCTTCATTTTAATTTTCATACAAATCAGATTTTATAAAAAATATTTTGTATGAAAATTTAAAAAATTCACATCGATATCAAATTTCTGACTTCACCATACCATTTATATGCCCATGTTAACATGGGCTAGTGTCGGCTCATATACCCATTTACTTAACACCCTGTATAAGTCTGGTGCTTTTAACTCAGTCAGTGCCTGAGGTATGCGAGTGTTTTTGGGACGACAAACGTCAGCGAAAATGTGCTTCAGGGGGCGTAGGGTGAGTTTACGTCAAACGCATTCAATATCGACTGCGTTAAAAAATATAAGAAGATTTTAGTCCTTGAAAGTTTCAGCTAGGGGCGCTGCAGTCCGTCATACATTAAATGTCACTTTTTTACGCAGTCGATATCGAATGGGTTTGATGTTATGAATATGACAATGTTACCCCTCCCATACCTCAGGCCTTAACTGACATACAGTAAAGACCGGTCATTGTGTAATGTAAACCCTCGGGGAGGACTTTGTTCCACAGTGGACTTTAGATAGAAACGAAAAAAGTAATGATTTCAATTCAAAATTTCAAAGTGTACGCCATCTTCGATGAGCTTTGCAAGTGCAACCTCAATTGCTATAAATTGAAAAATTTTTATGCGTCTTTTAGCACAACAAATTATTTTCCATTACATTTAATGTAATCCAAGCTAAAAGTGGGTTCAAAAAACTGGAATTCCCGAATACATATGTCGCAGTCGGATTGTATNGTTTTTTTACACCCTGTATTTGTTAGAAAGGATATTTTGACTCTTCGATGGTTGAACTTGTCGCAACATTCGAAGTGGCGTACCATCATCGGTTTAATGACCTTTCGACGCAACGTTCTCGCTGTCGTGACATTCGAAGTAGCAACTTTTGATGTGGCGTAGGGAAACCTTCTTCAACTAAAAGTGCAAATAAATGTGTTTACCTCTCAAAAAGGAGAAAACCATGAAATATTACTTACGGTAAGTGGTAGGTATTTGAAGATTTACGCCCGTATTCACAAACGATGCTTGCTTAAGTGTAGCAGCAAATCGAATAGAGCTCTGTGATTGTTTCGTGTATCACCCTGTGCGTCCACACGCACTGTGAGACCTCATAGTAATGTTTGTGAATACCGGATGTTAAAAGCTGTTGGAGTGGACTGTATGTTATAGATATAGGCCTGCCGGTGATGATATTATGCTAGAAGCAAGGAAACACCAAAATAGGGCCAAAACAGTAGGTATATTGCTCAAGACATTAACAGAACACGAGACTACAAAAGCAACTTCAAAAAAAGTACTTAATTTAAATGGAATAAAAACTAATTTCGGAACTGCTGTTCTAATTTAATAATTTTTCGATGTGAAATTGCAAAACATGTGACGTCACACTAGTATACAATCCGACTGCGACACATATATTATTTCGCATATTTAACAGATAATGCTCACATATTTAAATTAAAGCATACATCTGCATATTTAACACCGCCTACTGGTAGAACAAAAGATCAGTCACTGGAACAGTTTGCTTTCATTTTCTATTGTTTACTTTCATGCTCTCTGCTCCTGCCTTTTAAAGTCATTGTATCATGAGGTACTTGAAATAGATATGTGTATTTCACAAACTAAATCCATTTTAGTTCGCAGAATACAACAGACTTCAAACGCAGACAGATCAGGTTCAATGGCTTCATCACAGCTTATCTTGTCATGCACATTGTGATTGATTATGAATTTGCGATTCAATTACAATCTGGTATTGTTTCAATCATAATTCACACTTTACTTTGGGAGAACAAGAGCACATTAAACTTTTTGAAATACCTACATTTCTCTGCATGAAATCAAATAGAGATGACAAATCATCATTATTCATTATAGCCACGTCATTGATTAGGTGTTAATTTTTTTTATATTTGTTAGAAAGGATATTTTGACTCTTCGATGGTTGAACTTGTCGCAACATTCAAAGTGGCGTACCATCATCGGTTTAATGACCTTTCGACGCACACGCACTGTGAGACCTCATAGTAATGTTTGTGAATACCGGATGTTAAAAGCTGTTGGAGTGGACTGTATGTTATAGATATAGGCCTGCCGGTGATGATATTATGCTAGAAGCAAGGAAACACCAAAATAGGGCCAAAACAGTAGGTATATTGCTCAAGACATTAACAGAACACGAGACTACAAAAGCAACTTCAAAAAAAGTACTTAATTTAAATGGAATAAAAACTAATTTCGGAACTGCTGTTCTAATTTAATAATTTTTCGATGTGAAATTGCAAAACATGTGACGTCACACTAGGGAGGGGGGGGTCTCAGAAATGTGACCACCTGTGACAAGGACGGGGGGGCGGGTGGGTTGGACGGGGCCCAAAAAATCATGAAATTCGTGTGACGTACTTTATGGATGGCCCCTAAGTAACTTACCTCATTGTTGATATCGAAGACGCCTTCCTGGATCTTCTCGTAGATCTCTTTGGCGGTGTTGATGAACGCCTCCTCGACATTCGCGGCGGTCTTGGCGGACGTCTCCATGAAGACCAGGCCATGCTCACGGGCGAAGGCCTCGCCCTCCTCTTTCTTGACTTCGCGCCGTGATTCCAGATCACTGTGTTGAAAAAAAAGTAAGTATTTATGGTACCCATAGAAGGTACAAAGCTTTGCCTAATGAGACTAAATGACGCAATGTAAAAAGTATGTACACAAGTAGGTACTAATGTGGGATAGGGGTAAGAGAAATAAAGACGTGTCCCAAGAAAATCTTATTGTAGTTTGATTAAATTCTTTATCACTCGCACAACATTTATTCGCCGTCTTTCTACATCCCCTCTTCTCTCTCGCTCGCACACCTCTTCCGTTTCCCACATTTATTTTAGTATTTGTCATGTATTTATACATGACAGATTTGTCATAGAACTACACAGTTACATAAGGTCTGAGAAGATGTCTTGTACTGTTGCCAGCACTTTATACAGTTCTGTTCAAAAATAGCACATATTACAACTAGTAGATGGCCATATTCTCAATAAAAACGGGATTTGAACATGAAAGTTTAAAATACTAATGGATGGCTATTCTGATTTAACAATGAAATGAACCAAAAATGTGTGTCATCTGCATATGCCAATAAGTCATGTGACCATAATGGATATGAGGATAAGCAGTAGGTACACTTTTATCAGTGAAAAATAAACTCATTAAAAATGCTTTTATTAAGCCCACGCACGTCATGTTTATGTCACTTATCAGTACACAGTGAATTTCTTATGATTTTTTTTTATGAAAAGGTTAAGCTCCAAAGAAATAGCCCAGCAATAGACGTCATGAATGGAATAGATCTAGCAATCCTCGAATCTTAGATCGACAATCCAATGCCGACACCAATATGTTATTGCTGCATCAAAATTATAAATATGGAACTTTCATAGCTAAACGGCTCTATCAAAAAACTTTGGCTGCTTTGGATTCGGTGGAAAGGCGTGCCAGAAGACTAAAGCCCCACCCTTGTAGAAGCGTCGCTCCAAAAACTTGACCACCACCGTAAAGTAGCATCTTTATCGGTTTTCTACAGGCTCAGGAGAATGTGTGAAAGAATTAGACGAGCTAATTCCACCAGCCCCCTTCCATCACCGGGGAACCAGGCTCAGGTTAGCGTACCATCCCTATATTGTCAACATTCCACCAGCTCGCACTAAGCCTTTCGATGACTCTTAATGCGAACATCTAGGGATTGAATTTCGTGCCTGCTGCTGTCTTTCCCGAAGACTATAATCCGGGCCTTTTCAAGGCGAGAATGAATAGGCACTTACAGGGCAGATATGTACCATCCTAGACTGCATCCCACTTAACACCAGGTGCGATTGTGGTCAAACACCTGCCTTGTTATGTATAAAAAAATATAAATAGGTGAATTTTAATGGAACTTGGTCAACTTACCTTTTGTTTCCAATGAGCATGATCACCATATTGGAGTTGGAGTGCTGGCGCGCGTCTTCCAACCAGGTGGTGAGGTGGTTAAACGTGTCCCGCCTGGTGATATCGTAGACTAGAAGCGCGCCCGCCGCGCCGCGGTAGTACGACCGTGTGATTGATCTGAAAGGTTTCATAATGTATTTTGCTTAGGTATTGTGATAGCATCATCATCAGCAGGTCATTATTATCTACTACGTGAGCACAACCCTCTCTAATTCACCAGAGGCAAGGCATAAATGCTAGCATGCAGACCCAAGTAAGGTTGAACATTAGAACAGAGCCAAAACTGCTTGCCTGGCACCTGCTTATGTCTTACCAGAAGATAATTATGTCTAAAAGAGGATACCAATAGGTGATAGGATACCAATACCTTTTAAAAATGATTGTTTTGTATTTGGACTACTTATTCTACTATTTCTTTTTTTTAACACAACATGTCTCTACAATATTAAACAATTTACAAAAAAAAAAAAAATTGACTTGACATTGTGTAATGCCTTAATAAGAGTCCTTCCTAAACCAGTTTGCATAAAGGGCATTTAACAATGTATTGTAAGCAGAGTAAACATAGTATCTTATTACAAGGTCATTGGTGCTTTATGACCGTTTGACCATACTACAACACAATCATAACATAACACCCTTGTGAGTCATCTGTGCATCACTTTAGGAATCACTAGCCAGTCCTATTTAGATTTCCAGTGAACATGACATCAGAAAAAATATTCATGATCCTAATAATATAAAAAGCTTGTATGGATAACAGTTTTCTGTAAGAACTCTTTTTATTAAAAAAGTAATGAACTATGAATCATCACACTAACATAATAGCTTTTGATGATATTGATGTTTAAACCTATAAGCAAACCAAAATCACTGGCTTCCACCAGTACCTGGTAATAAACAAAAGAATAGATAATCTAAATTAGGTTGTTGTAACTACTTGTTAGTAGTTTATATGTATTGTTCTTATTCATACTTTATTGTTCAAAGTCAATTATAATTGGGTTAATGCAACAACAATGATTATATTAGGGCAGTAATATTTGAATTGAACATGTTAATGTTACAACACAACATGTTATAGGATGTGATAAAGGTAACCATTAATGCTAAATGAGCTTTATTAAAATCTTATCTAACATTATCATCATCAATAGACCATTTGTGGTTTGATGAATAATAGATATTGAAGTTTCATAGGGCAAAAAAACAGCTTGATGCTTCTATGTGCTATGAAACCAAACACCTATCAAACATCATCATAATTTCAGCCATAGGACATCCACTGCTGAACATAGGCCTCCTCTAATGATTTGCATAATGACCGGTTGGTAGTGGCCTGCATACAGCTTACAGCGTCTTCCTGCTACTTATCAAACATGGTTTATTGTAATCCATTATTTCTTTATTATTGTAGTGGACAGCACCTCAGACTCTTTATTACCGTTGCAAAATAGCTCCTATTACAAGTTCACAAGACATTGTTTGCATTGATGTCGAGCATAAGGTACCTGAAAGCCTCCTGTCCAGCAGTGTCCCATATCTGAAGTTTGATCTGCTTGCCGTCAATGGTGATCATCCGAGCACCAAACTCCACTCCGATTGTGAGATCATGCACCGGCTGGAACCGTTTGTCCGTGAACTGCAGTAGGAGGCATGATTTGCCCACACCTGATGCAGAAGTTTAAATTTTTATCAAAATGTACTTTTTGTCAGGTAATAACTATTGCAACTTGGGAGTAGAGAGAATACCTACTAGACTTTTTTTTGTAAAAAATTAGGTAACTGTAGTGCTTAGATGAAAAAGAAATTGCAATAAACAAAGCAACAAAGGAGACCTTGACCAAACAATGGATCCAAAAGTTATCTATTGTTTTTATAGACGAGACTTGTTTACGATTCAATGAGCACAGATAGTACATAATCTTATGTGACTGTTCCATTTCCCTTTTACGCAGGTACTGGAAAGCGTAGGCGGAAAACAAAGCTTAGCAACATACAACACATAGAAAACTTTGAACATCTCCCATTTTTCGATGCTCCAAGCCCATATTATGTAGATCCTCGCTATTATAAGCCAAACCCACATGGTTAGTCAAAACAAAACACAAAAAGACCTGCCAGGCAATAAATAACAGCTCAGATAAAATATCAGGCACAAAATCAATACCTGTGTCGCCGATGATGATGTATTTGAACAAGTAGGCGTATGCCATTTTCACGACTGTTTCTCGTAACTACACGAAAATACTGTGAATAATAAGGGTAAACAAAGTCTAAGAAGACAATTACAATATAAATAAGACGCAATTTTTAGAAATCACACAGCTGGCTGAATCAATTTGTCATTGTGAAATTTGTGAAAATTTGACAGCTGATCCATAAACAAAAGAGGGTAAATGACAACTGTGTTGCCAATTTTAAATAATTCCATAAAGTGCGATAAAATAACAAATAGCGTTATTACGTTATAAGCAAACTGTTGAACAACTTTAAACTTCAAAGTTTCTGTTAAAATTTGAACCTGTGTGGTGTATTAGCCAGACGAAGCCGTGAGTTTACAAATCAGTAAAAAATTATACACATAGGTTACGTGTTTATACAAAACAACAAAATCTCTCAATGTTTAATTTTGAAATTAATGATAAATGTTCCGAACAAAGTATTACATTCTATTGAATGGTTAATCGTAAATTCAAAACGGTTGTATTATTATTCAAATTAAAGAGAAATCATCATGGATCATCTTACAGATAGTTTGGTCATAAAGGCCTCAGTATAGTACCCATATGAGTACCTATAAAAAACTAAAATGTTTGTATGTTTTATTACATATTGGTAATTTCTTTTCTGGAAGTTAAACGCTTACTTACCTGTTTATTATAGGTATCGTTGGGTTCAGGTTTAATCTAGCTTAGTCTGGGAGTGCTGGAAAATCCGCTGTCGGAATTAATGTCGGAATGCCCGATTACACTTGCCTACGTATTTACGGTACTCACGTTTGTCTGAAGCGGAAATCGAACCCGCAACCACAGGGCATTTTAGTCTTGCAGTCCACTACACCACGGACTACACCAATCACAAGAGTTAAAATGTCACCGTCAAATTAATACTTATTTTCCAATGTGGAAATCCACGCGAGCAGAGCCATGGCCAAAAGCTGAGTGTATGTTGTATGGTAATATTATAAGTGGGTATAAAAAGGAGCCCATCATGACTACTCTTCCTTTCATCAATAAATTCACATCTGTTAAAAAGTTTATAAACAAAATGAAGCATTTAAAATCAATGTTATTCAAGCAAAGCTCTTTGTGGTAAGTAAAGTTTACTTTTAAATGTATCAAAAATATAATATAATTATCCATGATATTTTTCACTATTTTAGGAATCATGTCCCAGTTAGATTTGGGAGCTTTTACTTGCCGTTGCACGACAGATACAAGGGTTTTGATAACTCTATAAATCAAATAATTGATGAAGTTAGAAAAGAAAGGAAGTATTTACATTTAATACCAAAAATCGAAAATAAAATACAATTGGTAAGTGAAAAATGGTTTTGAAGTAATAGCTATGAGACTGCTAAGTTTAATGAAGTTCTTTTTAGGCCACTAAATTCAATGTAGCCGGTGGAAATAATATCAGCTCTCGGATCATGTTAAATTCTTTCGAAATGATTGAAAATCCAGAAAATATTACCGCTGAGACCATCAACCAGGCTTTTGTGCTAGCTTGGGCGGCGCAAATTGTAAGTTATTATGTATCACAATCAGTTAATCAATGTTATAACATTACCTCAGTTTTACTTTTTATATCCTAACATAACTCGATATTTGTGGCTATTTTGACATAATGTATGATATAGATGGCGCTAGGTGCTAGCGCTGATTTTTCTACACCCCCGTTTCCGGAAAACTCTCAAAAGCTTAAATTATTTATCTATAAGCTAAGCTAGTCTTAGCTGAGGGCAATATATATTTTTTTTCAATTGTAACAGACGGAGGCACATCAAAAGATATCAGAAGAAGCAAAACTCGGTCCTACAGCGTCAAAACAAAATCATTCTGAAGTTGCTGTAAAAGATGGTAATTTGCTCCGAAGTTTTATGTATGCTATGTTAGAACAAAAGTTCCAGAACACAAAAAAATATAGAGACATCTTACAACTATTCAACAAGGTATGGTAACGGAAAATTAAATTTTCCTTTTACCGCTTAAAATTAAAAGGGGCTTTTCTTTTTCAGGCTTTCCTTTACGGAGTGATTAGCCAGTATCAAGACAATCCTATAAATAAAACGAATAAATGTGCCAACATAAATTCTAGTTATTACCAAATGTTATGTGATTACAAAGTTTCATATATTTATTTCGAACTTCCACTTTTACTGGCAATGAAACTATCTAACAAAACTGACGTGAATCTGCAGGAAAATGTGCACAATATATGCTCGCAAATGGGCATGTTATATCAAATTCAGGTAAAACTATTCTTGACAGTCAAAATCTTTATTTTACGACATCTTAAAATGCTATGATTTACAGGAAGACTTCCAAAACTGTTTTGGAGATGAAACCATTATAGGGACGGAAGGTACAGACATCCAAGAGGGCAAATGTACCTGGCTGGCAGTTACAGCGCTGCAGCGCTTTACTCCTCACCAGAGAGTAGTCTTCGAGGCTTGCTATGGTAGCGACGAGCCTGCTCACATCGAGCGCGTCAAGCTGCTTTATAAGCAGATGCAGTTGGACCAGTTGTTGCGAGAAGAAGAAGGCGCCCTCTATGAAAGCATAATGCAAAATTCTGAAATGGTGGAGAAAAGTGGAATCCCTTGTAAACTTTTCGAAAATCTGCTGGAAGCAATACGCAATCCATCTTAAAATTGGATAATTTCTTTAATGACCCGTGAAAACTTAAGCTAATAGTGAAGATTTTTTAAAATAAAATGGTGATTTTGTAAATGTTTTTATAGAAGTCTAGCTACCCTCACCTTGGTTACAATACAAGTGAAACTCAAATGTATATTCTATCATAGTATATTCCAAAAATATAATGTTATACATAACATTGCTTTTATGTAAAGTGACGTCATTAATGTCCAGAACACTGTTCCACCATGACTGCATTATAAGGTCATTATTCGTTAACAATTTGGTACTATATCACACTACTTCCAAGTGTGGATACACATTAGAAGAACCAAATATTGCATATCAATGTGAGGAGGATACAGTTACAACGAACAATTTACAACTTAAACATACATTTAACAACTTTAAGAAATAAAAGGTACAGTATGACGGTGTGAATATGCGGCGTGGCCCATACAGGAAAAACAAAATGCAAATCTAAGGCGCTTATAAAGCAATAAGAGCCAAACGTACAGAACAGTACTCTTGATGAATATGTAAAACACATGGAATCATTATCTTATGTTATGCTAAATTCGGTCTTGTAGCGTTATCTCCGTGTTACAATGAATCATTTACATATCGAGATCTATGTAAAGTGGTGGTACACTTTTTGCATACAAATAGTTTCTTGAACCCCGTGAACCCATTCTACAATGCCACTTCTATGTTTTGGGTTCCATCTCTCTATCTCTCTTATGCCTTTAGTAGATTGAGTAAGAGAGACAAGACAAGGGCACCAACAAAGGGAGGAAACCTACAAAACCGAATGTAGAAAAGTCAAACCTGTCTGTTTGGATCATGCCTTAAAATTAAGATGTTTTACTTACTTAAACTTTATTTATGGAGTAACAAAGTATTCAGTACAAACGTAAACAAAATTAATAGGTAAAGCCAACGTTTTTTAGATCCACGCTTTTAGAATCGACCAAATTTGTGGCAATTTTAACTAATTTAAGGCTGCAAATTCAATGAAAAATCTTTGAATGTTTCTGAAATCACTCCACAATTTAATTAAGTAAAACATCTCAATAGTATAAAGTAAAAACGTACAACCTATGTATTTCGATACATTCTTTCAATTCAACGAGACGGCAATTCGTGCTGATTTTCCTCAATCAGGCAAACTTATTAACGATTAATTAACTAGAATACGATGAACATAACTATATATTAGACGGCCGTCTCATTAACCAGAAATACCAGAATATGTTTACAGTAAGTGCAATTATGATAACAAACGTACATGAGTGTTGCAACGGTTACAGACGTATGTGCTAATATAATTTTGACTAGTAAGCACCAATTTACTAATATATAATTAAATTACGTTATATCTTTTACAGGAATATTTACACCTTATTTTTATGTGGCTAATAAAATTTAGCCAATCACACGCTTCAGTATTGTGAAACGTCGAATCACTATGAGTTCTATACTTACACTATGTTGACGCAATAACAAAATATTTGAGCGATATTGATGAAGCTTTACATGGAAATAACAACATAACAATATTGCGAGACTATAAATAAATTATGCTGACAGAAGAATGAGAAGACAGTGAAAGAATAAATAGATAAGATGAGACCAAATCATATTACAAAAACAAATAGGAAAGAAACATAATTTATTCATGATCCCTAAATCGTATGGAGAAAATCTTACGATATTTAATATTACGTAATAATAACCTTAAATAATAAATTGTTGAGTAAGAGCATTTATATTGAGTTGCGGCGGTATATGATTGTTTTTGAAAGAACGAAATTAATTTAGATAACCAACTGAAGCCTCCTTTAAAATAGTCAAGCACTTGTAAAGGGCCAGTAGTTGTTAGTTTACTTTCATACTCACAAATTTACTTTTCCTGACAACTGTTTCTAACTTGAAATGCTACTAATCAATCATCAAACATAACAAAAACAATTCGGTTTTTTATATAGCACGGTGGTTTAGATAATACACATTATGTAAAGTAAGATCCTTTAATTCTTTTACTTAATTTAAAACACAAAACACTCTAGTGATCTTGCAAATCACCGTATATTTAATTATTTTACATATTTTTGACCATCAAACACAAAACGATAAGAATCATAATAATATCGGTACTTCTACATTAGATATGTCTTCCTAATAATAATATAAACGCTTACAATAATGTTATACCTTATAATTGGTGTTAATAAATAGTTTTGTCTTTTTAAATAATTGCTTCACAATAAATCGTAAAATCGGAAATGAAGGAATCGAATACCACGAAGCTATTGAAGCATCGAAATAGTTATATTATTTGGGCTGGTTTGATAACTTTTTAGAGGAAAAACATTCGAGTAATCACTCCACTTACTATTATTTAAATTAAGCGATTAATTAATTTGCGAATCGGTTTTTATTAACTCTTTTGTATTCTCAAATACTGCTTCTCGTATACTTAAAGCGAAAGTTCTCAATTTTCAAAATCAGTTCTATTGACAATTCGATTTTGCAGTAATGGAATACGCATGTATTTAGAAAAATATTAAACATTCACATGTTATTTCGAAAGATAATGGTGCATTTGGCATTAGATAATAAACCTAATTTACCAATTTGATACAGTTTTTAGGCTAAGATGAATCACGCTTTTATTTTTGAAAGAGGTTGGTAGGTACGTACGTATACGTAAATTTACGGACACATTTTATGGAGTCATACGTGCTAAAATAAGAAGAATGACGATGTAATAGGTAAAGGTCCCTGGCTCGCTGCTCTATTTTGAATTCTTCGGAAGCTCCTCTATCCACGAGTGTTTCCAGCAGTTCCAAGGCCGAGTGGAACCCTATCGCTCGGGCGCGGGCCCTAGTATGGGCAGCTGAGCCGCATGCGCGGCCAGGTGAGCGTGATAGAATTGTTTTAACGCGCATCGTGTCTCTAAAGGTAGTTGTGGAGTATTTGATAATGGAAAATAGACCATATTTACCAATTTGATAGTTTTTTACACGTGAATCGCTCTTTTGTTTCCGATTCGTTCGTAACGGAGTAATACGTACGTATACGTAAATTTACGGGCACATTTTACGGAGTCATCTTACGATTTTTGGAACAGTAAAAGTACTAAAATAAGAATGATAATGGAATAGGTAAATGTACACTTCCCTGGCTCGCAGCTCTATTTTGAATTCCTCGGAAGCTCCTCTATCCACGAGCGTTGCCAGAGTGTTGTCTGAGGCTGAGTGTTGCCAGTAGTATTATTCTCTTGCCTGCAGTGTTGCCCTATCGCTCGGGCGCGGGCCCCAGTATGGGCAGCTGGGCCGCGTGCACGAGGCGGCGGTGCGCCTCGGAGCCGGTGAGCGCGGCGAGCGTGACGCCCGCGGTGTAAGCGCACGGGAGTCGCACGTGACGCGTCCGTGTCCCGTGTTCCGACCAGCCGGTGGAGCGCCATTCGCGTATCACGTTGGCTACTTGACCTGTGGAAGAAATTAAATTATTTATTAGCGTATGAATAAATGGGGTATCATTTATAATTGGTCAATTTTATGACACCATCAGTCAGTACTCAGTATGTTGTATGACTACTGTGCTCTGCTGTCGTAGTGCAAAAAAGGAAGAGAATTTAAATACTGTATTTTGACACGTTTTCATAGATATTTATTTTTACAAAACGTCATCACGTCACATCACAACTATACTAGTATCAGTAATAGTTTGTGCATACACGAAGTTTTGCGAATATTCCTTCCCTATTAACTTTCGTACTTTTTACGAGTTCAATCCAAACACGATTCTCCTGTTATGTATTCGATTAAATCGTCCCTATTTAATTAATTCCAAATTACGTTTTAAAATTAGCTAAAACTGTTCTTAAAATATAAGTTACTCACCAAGAACATTAAAAGTGTGGAAGCGTCGATCAGGCACAAACATCAGCGGCGACAAATCCGTGCTAGCGGTGAACCTTGATAGCACGTCTCTCGTTCTAACCAGAAGAACCGAGGGAGACGTAAGACGCGGCCATAGCGTAGACTCTGGCACGCATTCGACAGGGTTGCAGAGATACACCCCCTCTGCTGACACGCCGAACACCATTTGATGGTGCCACGCGTCTGGGATTTCGCCCTCGCAACCGACTTGTAGATTTAACGTCACTATTGGGACTGCACCTGTAATTAATTTAGGACGTATTAGGATTAATATTGAGTCTGAATTGCGATGACAGTCAAAAATATACTATGTTGGCAAAAGGGACAAGGAAAGTCGAACCTTAAATTCGGAATTTTCCTGTTTAATTTCGTCAAACTTGACCTTCATTTTTCGGGTTTTTATTGGCGGTCAAGCTGTAGATCCTGGCTACACAGGAGTTGCAAAGGTGCGAACGAGTGGTGGAAATAGTCCCGTAAAAAAGGGAAAAAATACAGTCATTGCCTGAATGTCTATAAATGTTTGACGTAAACAATACTCAGTAGTTTATCTACAGTATGTGCATTGACACATTCAAACTAGTCCTTTGATTTGTAATAAAGCTTGTGCTCATTACACTATCATTTTATCACCTTAAAACTCGCCACTCGCAAGCGAGTGCTTAAATAATCTATGATGATTTTAGTTCTTAAAAGTAGCTGCTAGTGGCGCTGTACAATCTGTCATACATTTCATGTAATTTTTTGCGCAAGCACGCCTTGCAGTACGTTTAATGTAAACTCATAGTAAGGTGAGGGAACAGCACTTACCTAAGGAAATCCAGTCCGCCAGCCAGTGTGACAGCGAGACCGCGCGCTCCGGATAGGTCGGGAAGAACCGCGCGGTCACCAGCCCGTCCGACGCGCGCTGGATGCCCATCAAGATAACAGGTACCAGTAGCTTTACCATGAGATCAGATTAAACGTACTTACAAGCGAGCGAATGCGTCAAAAAATCTACGACGATTGTAGTTCTTGAAAGTAGCCGCTAGTGGCGCTGTATAATCTGTCCTACATTTCATGTTATTTTTTTGCGCAGTCGTCGCAGTGCGTTTAATGTAATCTCATGGTAAGCACACTGGTGTGAAACAGCACTTACCTAAAGAAATCCAGTCCGCCAGCCAGTGTGACAGCGAGACCGCGCGCTCCGGATAGGTCGGGAAGAACCGCGCGGTCACCAGCCCGTCCGACGCGCGCTGGATGCCCGTCACTAAGTCCGCCGCTGTGCAGCCGGCCACGGCGCGGGATAGCAGGCACCAGTAGCTTTACCATGAGTTTACATTAAACGTACTTGCAAGCGAGTGCGTAAAAAAATCTATGATGATTTTAATTCTTTAATGTAACCACTAGGGGCGCTGTACAATTATGACATTTTTTACGCAGTAGTCTCAGTACCTTTAATATTAACTCATGGTAAGCACACTGGTGTGAAACAGCACTTACCTAAAGAAATCCAGTCTGCCAGCCAGTGTGACAGCGAGACCGCGCGCTCCGGATAGGTCGGGAAGAACCGCGCGGTCACCAGCCCGTCCGACGCGCGCTGGATGCCCGTCACTAGGTCCGCTGCTGTGCAGCCGGCCACGGCGCGGGATAGCAGGTACCTGGTGTGAGAGAAAATTTTTAAATATAATGCTATGATATTATAACGGCACATGCGACCACGAAAGCGGTTCTGGTAAACTTGCGCAAATCCATAAGTGCCTCCATTAGCGCAAATGGACGTTTGTGCGAAAAAACTTCAAGTCACTTGCGCGAAAAACACGAGCGCAAAACATAAGTGCGAACGGCATTATCGCGAAAGAAATGCGCACATATGCTTTCAGCGCTTCTGGATTCACGCAAGTGTAGAATTTTAATGAGACTATTAACAACACATTATAATTATTTTTAATTGCTGTTTTGTAGTGAAACACTGTATCATAACGTCCTTGAATTTCTGTAATACCTAAATTAATAACATTAATACACATTCATTTTGTACCTTGGTAGTGGGGCTGTGTTAGCCCTCAGTCTTGTACCAACAGCTGTATTGATTTTTTCTACGTTTACTGGGACACCCAATGCAATCTGAAACATGTAAACTTATTAGCAAAACATACTCACTCAAAAATCGTGGTCTTTTCTGAGGAAGGAGGGTATTTTAGAGTGGTTGATATAGTACATTTTATTCTTGGGGATGCTTCATAGAGCAGTTCAATTTTACTTATTTTCTCTTATAAAGTATATTTGCTCTGTCAGCCTTTGGGATAGATAACACAGATTTAAACAAAAATAATTTTGATCAAGCAGGAGCAGAGTGAAGAGGGATTTAAAACAAATGCTTAGAAATGTAACATTTACATAACTGAAATTATTCTTTCATGGATGTAGATAATAGATTATCGTCATTTTCAAATATACTAAAATGCCACGATAGTCGAACGGTGAAGGGGTCGGACTGGCCGACTCGCGATCCGGGGAACGCGGGTTCGGTCCCCGTAGGGNACTACATAGGTTTCTGCCAATGTTCTTTAAGGAGACATTTTACGGAATCATACGTGCTAAAATAAGAAGAATGACAATGTAGTAGGTAAATGTCCCTGGCTCGCTGCTCTATTTTGAATTCTTCGGAAGCTCCTCTATCCACGAGTGTTTCCAGCAGTTCCAAGGCCGAGTGGAGCCCTATCGCTCGGGCGCGGGCCCTAGTATGGGCAGCTGAGCCGCATGCGCGGCCAGGTGAGCGTGATAGAATTGTTTTAACGCGCATCGTGTCTCTAAAGGTTGTGGAGTATTTGATAATGGAAAATAGACCTTATTTACCAATTTAGATTTTTACATGTGAATCGCTTTCTTGTTTCTGATTCGTTCGTAATGAAGTAATACGTACGTATACGTAAATTTACGTGCACATTTTACGGAGTCATCTTACGATTTTTGGAACAGTAAAAGTACTAAAATAAGAATGATAATGGAATAGGTAAATGTACACTTCCCTGGCTCGCAGCTCTATTTTGAATTCCTCGGAAGCTCCTCTATCCACGAGCGTTGCCAGAGTGTTGTCTGAGGCGAGTGTTGCCAGTAGTATTATTCTCTTGCCTGCAGTGTTGCCCTATCGCTCGGGCGCGGGCCCCAGTATGGGCAGCTGGGCCGCGTGCACGAGGCGGCGGTGCGCCTCGGAGCCGGTGAGCGCGGCGAGCGTGACGCCCGCGGTGTACGCGCACGGGAGACGCACGTGGCGCGTCCGTGTTCCGTGTTCCGACCAGCCGGTGGAGCGCCATTCGCGTATCACGTTGGCTACTTGACCTGGGGAAGAGCGCGTAATTCGTCATAGGCGGAATTCGGTTTTTGGCAATCAGTCAATAGGATGTATAGTCAAACGACACTGAAACGTCAGGTGGCAAATCGGAACTAATGACCGAATCCTGTCAATGTCATATCTAGGGCACTTATTTGTTGTCCAACTATAGAAGTAACGCTGGAGTGCATCTGAAGGAAGTAATCTTTGCATTCCAACGTTACTGCTTTATGTTTTTCAATAATGATGCATGCTGCCTAAAGATATGTTTTCACAGATTATTACTAACTGACAAATGATGCATAATGGCGGCTTATTTATAGTTTATCTTAGTAGCGACCTCTGCATGAAGATATGCTTAATATTCCCTATTGATTTCCTTACGGTATCAACTCAATCGACCTTTTATTTGCTAATTTCAAAAATAAATAAGTTTCAGAGCTGTATAGTGTTTAAAAAATTATAAGTTACTCACCAAGAACATTAAACGTGTGGAAGCGTCGATCAGGCACAAACATCAGCGGCGACAGATCCGTGCTAGCGGTGAACCTTGATAGCACGTCTCTCGTTCTAACTAGAAGAACCGAGGGAGACGTAAGACGCGGCCATAGCGTAGACTCTGGCACGCATTCGACAGGGTTGCAGAGATACACCCCCTCTGCTGACACGCCGAACACCATTTGATGGTGCCACGCGTCTGGGATCTCACCCTCGCAACCGACTTGTAGATTTAACGTCACTATTGGGACTGCACCTGTAATAATTTGGGCCGTATTAAGAACAATATTGGGTAAACTAAATTGCGATGACTGTCAAAAATATACGATATACACAAAAGGGACAAGGGAAGCCCAATCTTCAATTCGAACTTCTATGTTCTTCTGATTAATTTCGACAAAGTTGTTTTTCACTGGTTGGGTTTTTATATTGGCGGTCAGGCTGTAGATCCTGGCTACACAGGAGTTGCAAAGGTGCGAACGAGTGGTGGAAATAGTCCCGTAAAAAAGGGAAAAAATACAGTCATTGCCTGAATGTCTATAAATGTTTGACGTAAACAATACTCAGTAGTTTATCTACAGTATGTGCATTGACACATTCAAACTAGTCCTTTGATTTGTAATAAAGCTTGTGCTCATTACACTATGATTTTACCACCTTAAAACTCGCCACTCGCAAGCGAGTGCATAAATAATCTGCGACGATTTCAGTTCTTAAAAGTAACCGCTAGTGGCGCTGTATAATCTGTCATACATTCCATTACATTTTTTACACAGTCGTTAGAGTACATTTAATGTCAACTCATGGTTAGCTGGTGTGGAAAAGCACTTACCTAAAGAAATCCGACGCGCGCTGGATGCCCGTCACTAGGTCCGCTGCCGTGCAGCCGGCCACGGCGCGGGATAGCCGGTACCAGTAGCTTTACCATGAGTTTACATTAAACGTACTTGCATGCGAGTGCGTAGACTTTATGACGATTTTAGTTCTTGAAAGTAACCGCTAGTGGCGCTGTATAATCTGTCATACATTTAATGTAAACTCATGGTAAGCACACTGGTGTGAGGAAACACTTGCCTAAAGAAATCCAGTCCGCCAGCCAGTGTGACAGCGAGACCGCGCGCTCCGGATAGGTCGGGAAGAACCGCGCGGTCACCAGCCCGTCCGACGCGCGTTGGATGCCCATCAAGATAACAGGTACCAGTAGCTTTACCATGAGATCAGATTAAACGTACTTACAAGCGAGCGAATGCGTCAAAAAATCTACGGCGATTGTAGTTCTTGAAAGTAGCCGCTAGTGGCGCTGTATAATCTGTCAGACATTTTTTGCGCAGGCCTTGCAGTACATTTAATGTCAACTCATGGTAAGCTGGTGTGAAACAGCACTTACCTAAGGAAATCCAGTCCGCCAGCCAGTGTGACAGCGAGACCGCGCGCTCCGGATAGGTCGGGAAGAACCGCGCGGTCACCAGCCCGTCCGACGCGCGCTGGATGCCCGTCACTAGGTCCGCTGCTGTGCAGCCGGCGACAGCCCGGGAGAGCAGGTACCTGGTGTGAGAGAAAAATTTGAAATATAATGCTATGATATTATAACGGCACATGCGCCCACGAAAGCGGTTCTGGTAAACTTGCGCGAATCCATAAGTGCCTCCATTAGCGCAAATGGACGTTTGTGCGAAAAAACTTCAAGTCACTTGCGCGAAAAACACGAGCGCGAAACATAAGTGCGAACGGCATTATCGCGAAAGAAATGCGCACATATGCTTTCAGCGCTTCTGGATTCACGCAAGTGTAGAATTTTAATGAGACTATTAACAACACATTATAATTATTTTTAATTGCTGTTTTGTAGTGAAACACTGTATCATAACGTCCTTGAATTTCTGTAATACCTAAATTAATAACATTAATACACATTCATTTTGTACCTTGGTAGTGGGGCTGTGTTAGCCCTCAGTCTTGTACCAACAGCTGTATTGATTTTTTCTACGTTTACTGGGACGCCCAATGCAATCTGAAACATGTAAACTTATTGGGCAAAACATACTTACTCATAAATCGTGGCCTTTTCTGAGGAAAGGGGGTATTTTAGAGTGGTTGATTGTACATTTTATTCTTGGGGATGCTTCATAGAGCAGTTCAATGTTACTTATTTTCTCTTATAAAGAATATTTGCTCTGTCAGCCTTTGGGACGGATAACACAGGTTTCAACAATAATAATTTTAATCAAGCAGGAGCAGAGTGAAGAGGGATTTAAAAACAAATGCTTAGAAATGTAACATTTACATAACTGAAATTATTTTTTCATGGAGGTATAGTCTGGTCCGTGAGCACGTAGAATTTTGTCCAATGACCCCAAGCTACCCATCCTTATCGCTCGCGCGTAATTATGTTGCTATCGCGCTCGCACACTTACTGCGGGTGCCAGTCGCACAGTCGCGACAGCAATATAATTACGCGCGAGCGATAAGGATGGGTAATGGGTATCTAGGGGTCATTGGACAAAATTCTACGTGCTCACGGACCGGGCTTTAGATAATAGATTATCATCATTTTGAAATAATAATATACTTACAAAAACATTGACGACGGCAGTAGCCCCACAGGCCGAGGTGCCTATCTGCGTGACTTGCCGCTCGCAAGCCTCTCGCTCCGACCACACCATACACCGCGGCGGCAGGGTGCAGCGAGAGTCGTCCGAACTGGTGCTTGGGCCTTCCTCGCTGTACTGTGGACCAGATAGCGAAATTGTTGTAGATAAAGTTTAGCAAAGCAACGCACCGAGCGCACCTCACCGCTAATCAACGCTAAATTTTGTCAGTGTGTGCGTGCGCGCCACATACGTATTGGCGCGCGCTCACATACAAACCGCGCTCGGTGCGTTTCTATGAAGGTGACCTACTCATTTGTATTTACTCTGGCAACATGCTAACATGCAGTCGTGCTGCTAAACGACCAAACGGGACTATTCCCACCACCGCAACTCCTATGTAGCCAGGATCTACAGTTTACCAATACCGCCAATAAAAACCAAACCAGTGAAGATCAAGTTTGTGCCAGGGAAAGTTAAACTGTCATTGGACCCGCAATGAATTTATTCAGAAGAACTTAGGAGAAGTTAAGGTTCGACCTCCCTCCAGTGCAAAGCAGATGGCAGGAGACAAAACAAAGTTAAACATTCCAGTTAAATTGATGCAACTCTTTATTATACTCTAGTTTTAGGTGGCACTCTATCAGTCAAGATAAAAAATAGGCCATGATTAATAGAGACTTGCATAATAATTTATTTTTAGGATATTCAACAGAGGAGCTAGGAAGTTTAATAATATTTATATCCCATTCCATGGTATTAATTTATGGTATTTATCCACTTACATTTGTTGGCTGGTCTGTGTCAGCTTTGGCATTTTCAACAAGCTTTTTAGCCATTGTAAGATGATACAATGCTGATGACAAGTTTGCTGAGTCATACATTGGCCTTTCTCCTTGGTTGATTTGATGCGCAAATGGTCCCTCAGTGTCATCATCATCTGGAAAGAAGTCTTGAATATTGCATATCAAAATTTAAAATTCTAAGTGAAGATTTAGATTTCTCAAAAAAGAGTTTTATTTATGAAAATTACAAACATGTTTATGTTATACTATCATTAGGTTAATGATGAATGAAATTAGAATTCAAATTAATCTTTAAGATACACACACAATGTCCACAATAATTGAGTTTATCTTGACTAACTAATGCAAAGTTAATTTTAAAATAACTTACAATTTAACATTTCTCTTGGTGATACCAGATCACCACTTGAAACATGAAGGTTCACAGATGTGGAATGTGGCCAATGAGACATGGTTCTTCTAACCAGCAGCTGTTCTCCCCTTACATTAACATGTGTTATTAGTGGTCCATACAAATGAGAACTTCTAGAATCGTCTCTCACGTCACCATGGTCTGTCGGCACACTACGACTAGTAGATGGCACATTGGAACAACTTGCATCAGGAGCAGACGAAGTGGTGGGAACGCTTATAGGTGGGGGGACATACCTAGCACCAGCTAAGTACTCTGGAGACGTCCCTCTCAGTACCGGCTCGTTTTCTTCAGGCATTATTATTTCTGCTTCTAAGTCAGCATCTGGACTAGACTCATCCCCAGAATCAACCTCACATGAAGGTCCTGGATCGAAATCCATTTCTAGAAAATCCATATCAGGGCTAGAAGCTCTGGAATTCTGTTCTCGGGCATTTTGTGCTCCCTGTTGGGCTGGGTAATTTAAGGGACCAGGGGGAAGGTGCCTATCCAGAGGCAAACCCATGTCTAGACTAAAGAATGAGCTTGGCAAGTCTGCCAAATGTTCCCCACCCCTGTATGTATAGATACACCCATCTTCAGAACCCAAAGAGTAGTCATCATTGCCTGTATCACTTGAGCTGTCATCGTCGTCAAAATTTGGCCTATTGAGTTTCAAAGTTGAAGGTCTTTTGCGGTTTTCTCTAGAGCTGCTGCTTTCTGCATTGTCTACAGGTTTACTTGTGCCACTTGTTGAAGCAACTACTGCACTATTGTTTGCAGCTTTATCAATACACAACTTGTGTTTTGAACATGTTGCTGGCTCAGCATTGCTGTCAGCTGTGTCAGATTTACTGCAGCCCGGGGTCGCAACCTGCTCGGTATTGCAGTTATTTACTTTGTTACCTTGTGTAGCACCACCAGTATTTTTATTACATTCATTCTTACTGTCACTTGCTTTACTACATGACTGCGACGATTCGTTATTCAGAGAATTCGAATGTCTTTGTAGTGGTCCATTTTGCGACGTTGAATTTGCGTCTAGCTCATTTGATGCGGATGTAAACACACTTTCAGGGTTGTCGTTAGAGCCTCGCTGTTTAGAAGGGCCGTTGCAATTTCTGCTTTTATCACTATCACGCTCCAACCTTAGCGGATTTTTAATTGATAACGGATCATTTAGGGATTCCATGTTGGGAATAGCGCATTAAATACGAGGGACCGTCGGCATTGTACACTTTGTTCTTTGGAGGTTACCAGTAAATATTATAATCACAAACAACTAGAATTGGGTCAAAACTAAATATATCACCACAATTTTGATATAATTAATTAAGATACACCATTATTTCTCTAAATTATTGAGAACATTCGCAATAGAGTAGATAATAAACAAAATTCAATCACGATTTCTTTTACAATTGACAATCATTGACAAGAGTGCAAGTGTGACTTTTTGTTTTTTAATCATTCTGAAGGGCACAGACTAAGCATTATGGTGAGTGTGTTTTTGTTTTTTAATCTCCACGTAACTTCACTTGGCAGACTATGTTTTTGCTTATTTTATTCTCAACGTTTTTAGTACTATAGTCTTTTTCACCTAAGATGATCCGTATGACGTTTCGAGTTTGAAAGATTTAGAGATGTCACATAACTAAACCATAGCGATTTATCCATCGATTTTTTTCGAAGAGTTAGTAAAACCTACTTTTAGAGAAATATTTTGTATAGGTGTTATTTAACAAAAAAACATGTTTTTTTTTTAATTACAAATATTATTGTAACAATTTTTTATTGATAATATTCAAATTTCATGGTTAGTGTTCAGAAAAACGATTCCTAAAAAGTTTTGGTTCTGTTTCTTTGAATTAAAAACTTTTAATTTATTTTCAATGCGTTTATTAAAGTCAATAATCGAAAAATATAGTTGATTTTTGTGATGTTTTTAATAACTAAGTATTCACTGCAATCGATTAATGAACAGCGAAAATAATCGATTTTATTATACAAGAAATACCGCAGCACTAAATCTATTCCGTTTCACACATTGCGTACATTAAATAAAAAATATTTTTACATCGTATTTAATTAAAATATAATCAATAGACTCAGATTTTACTATATATTCCAAGACAAGTAGTTAATTTTTTTTTATTATATTGCTATTAAAATACAAATATTTTTTCAAAAATATTCTGCATATGTAGTATGCGTAATATGGATAACCTTGAAGTGTCATACGGATCATCTTTAAGTGAAATAGACTATAGTGGTATATAGCCTGAGTTATATTTGTACGGACGACAGCACATCAACCTAAACACAGTGGCGTCTTATCTCGTTGTAATACAGGCTATTTTGCAACAAAAATGTATAGGTTGATGCGCTGTCGACTGTACTTTCACAAACCCTTAGGCCACGGCTTAGGCTTACGTACTTCCTCTAACTAATCAGAATAATAATTTATCACAACAAAATATTATGTAATTTTAAAAATGTACTTCAAAAGGTTTATGAAATTATGAACCAGAATAGGAACACTCCGTATGATGAATACCAATGACAACGATGGGAATCTATGTATTACTTTTCTCTATGATGGGAATTCCCGCGCGTGTGAACTGGCGGGAGTTTTCGTAAAACTTTTTGATTGTTACTTACCTACTACTTGTTTTGGTTAAAGTCAACATTCATATACAAATATTACCACCTAAAGCATGTTGATGTAGGTCAGTTACTACATCGACTCAATCACAGCATTTATAAGAAAAAATGTAGGTAAGTAACTTACTTTACTCAAACTAAAATGTGTAGATTTAATTTATTTAAATAATTTTAAGATAAAATTCACAATCCAAGGAAGAATGTACAACCTTTATATGAAATGAAATCGGTCCATAAATAAAAAATTCTAAGTCAATTTAAGTATTTAGAGATTTTCACAAGTTTTCTGCAAGGTTTAGACTGCATGTAAAACACCATGTCCAGTAGTTTTATTAAGACTGGTGAAGGAATCGCGTTGTCAAATGGTAGAGCTTGTATACGAGCGATGATGTTCTCGTAACAAGCGCGTTCTTCTTCGTGGTAAAGGCGCGGGATTTGCAGCTCTCTGTAAAGCTGCTTGATACGCTGCACGCAAGCATCATCTGCGCGGCCGTAGTTTGCTATGAATTCTTCACGTTGCGCTTCGTCGCATCGCTGCAGCGCTGTTACTGATAACCACGATATTTTGCCCTCTTGTATGTCCGATCCTATTTTCCCAGAAACGGCTTCATCACCGAAGGAATCCAAGAAATCATTCTGTAATAGCAAGATTTCTTTCAGCCAACCATGTTGAATGGATAGTTAATTATAAGCAGCTTTGTGTGTGATGAACTTAGAAAATTAACCAATGATTTGTACATCTTTTCTTAACTACTTAGTTTCCTAGTGCATACCTGCATCATAATAAGAGTTCCCATATCTGCGACGATATCCTCAATAGTTCTAAAAGCATCTTCATGAGGTTTGTTAGCCAACAGTAATGCTGAGTAAATGGGCAATTTAAATGTGTAAAATGACATCTTGGAGCTGGCCATGGTGTTGTAGTTTGACATAGTGAAGAGATCATGTTTCCGGAGTAACATATAATCCATATGGTTACCGTATGTATACAGCAGCACGGCCTAAAAATATAAATTACGACGAATATTAGCAATGCCTTAACATTAGGTATTATATTTCGTAGTAGGTATTAAGTGATCCCTATTTGTGCGCTCACTTTTAAATGCACATTTGAACTTTTCGTGTACTAAAACCACTGTCTTAGTTTAATTTTATTTATTAACAAAACAGTAACCTGCTTTGTCTTACGCGAATAGAAATCATAACAGTTCAGTTGATTCTTGAAAATTAGATTTACATAGTTGCAATATACAAGTACATACTCATACACATAGGAAAATGTTTCTAGGGAAAATTATATCATGTGAAATGTTTAACACCGCGCCTATTAATACGTTCCTACTAGTTAATAAGGAAAACCAAATTGCCCTAAGCAAGGAAATCCCATTTGACTAAACTTATTCCATTACTCAACTACTTAAACAATGCTAAACTTACCTCATTGAAATAGTCCAAAAATCGAGGGTACCATGTTTCGTTGCCAAAGTTGTGTTTAGCGTTATCACAGAGAAGGCTGAGGAAAATAAAAGAGTCGTTTATAGCCCGCGTCCCTACATGGGGCAGTCGGTACCAGCACACTGAGCCGCGTCTGGTGGATGATCCGTCAATAATGTCGTCCACCAACATAAGTGCTGTCTGCCACTGAAATTAATTAATAACACTAAAGTTAATCAACACATTAAACCCTTCTGTAATCCATTCAAATTCAAGATTTTTGTGGTAAGGTAACATCTTTGAACATCAACATCAACGAGAGTACCTACATCTTCAGGAATTTACAAACTTATGTCTTTGGTTAGTGATACAAGAGTTACACAATAAGTTTTTGTTCGTAGTTTAATAGACATAGTGCAGGATTAAATCAACCTGGACTGGATGGTCCTAAAAGGAATTATGATTTCAGGATTCGTACAACTCACACGGTATAAGAGAAGTGAATAATTAAACTGTCCTAGTAGAAGAAATCTTACCAATTCCAGGTACCAGCCTAAGATGCGAGCCTGTTTCATGGACTCTTCGGTGATATCTGCGTCATCTGCTAGCATTCGATATGCGTGTACTGCCATGAGCCCTCTTGTTTTGTTGCCACCAGCTGAGTTGTATTTTAGTAGCTGAAAGATGAGCAATACTTAATACTCTTTATTTAACTAAATTCTTGAAAACTTTAAAAAATCGTTTGCCTCAGCTCAGGTCAGAGCAGTCTTCCGGCAAGCGAAAGGTAGTGGGTTCCATTCCCATCCTCAAGGAATTTTCAAAAATAGTAAAATTCTTTCTTTCTTTTTAAAACATTGACAAAACATCACTTACCTCTTCGGTAAAGTTTCCTATTCCAGGAAAACTTGAAAATTTTTCATTTCGGCGCACTATCGACGAAACGACCTCTGGGAATACTTCAAGAAACTTTTCTTTTTCATCGTGCTGTAAAGTTGACGACGCCTTTGTTGAAAGTAGAAGTACTTTCAGGGATCCATATAAACTAATGAAAATAAGTTTGATTATCAACAAGAACTTAGCATAAATTGTGATGTAATGAATTAAAAAACTATTTTAATTCTTACCTAGTCCGATTTTTATTTTGAATGATTTTTGTAGATGTGCAATTGTTTATAACTTTTCGAAGGCTATTTACCAAGATCATTGTTCTGTACACAAACGAGACTGTCCGGTTAGTGTCTCGATATGACTAAGTAATACCTTACCTACATCGAGTCTGAGTCGATTGTCTCGATGAGGACTGCGCCCGCGCCGTTAAACTCAGTCAAATTAAAAATCAATAAGTAAATTCGTTAAATCAATACAAAAGTAATTTTAATTCATATTAGTCACAATATTTTGTGGTAGGAAACTAGGTATCTTCAGTCGTAAAGCGATCCAGATTAAGTTGGAGGTAAATCTTTAATTGCAAAAACAATTTAATTTTACCTAGCTAAATGACTTTAGTGCTAAGAAATTTATAAAAAATGGTTTAAGCTAGAAGAAGGTAAAATAAGAATAAAAAGACATTAACAGTGGATCGTAGAAGTATCTTTTTAATGTTAATTTAATGTTTTAGGTATTTACCTAGGTAAAAGTTTACTAAGTACTTATTTTAAATTAAAGATCGTACAAAATGCGAGACAAACGCGCGTTTTAGAGACGCAGCACGCGAGTTCAGATCGGATCATTTCTACATAGGAATATGGTACACCATATGAAAGAGTTTTCGAATGAGAGCGGGTGGTACGATATTGTCAGCGGGTATTACATCTATTTGCTTGAGGATTTTCTTGCGTGCGGCTTGTTCTGTATCGCGGTAAAGCTGCGGTAACCGTAGCCGCTCGTATAGCGTGCGCACGCGGCGCTCGCTAGCGGCGTCGGCGCGGCCGTAGCACGCCTCGAGCTGCGCGCGCGCCGCGTCCCCGCCGCGCGCCAGCGCCTGCACCGCCAGCCACGTGCACTTGCCCTCCTGGATGTCTGTGCCTGCCTTGCCTACTACTTTTTCGTCGCCAAAGCAATCGAGGAAGTCGTTCTGCGGATGACATTTTGAAAATGAAACATCTCAAATCCACTCCTTCGGGACAACATTGAGAACAATTTTTAAGAAGGAGCAAACTCAGTAATTGAATTAACATTATTGACGCAAGTGAGGCGTAGTCACATTCAACTCATATTTAGATTAATGTCAACATACTTCACACTACTACAGCCCAACCAATAATTGATTAGTTAAGAGAATGCCAATTAGCATTAAGTCCGCCATAATTTGTACAACCTCAAAAGTAAATAAATAAACTTACTTGCATCAATGTAAGGATTCCCATTTCTTTCAACAACTCCTTTTCATTTTTATAAGCGTCATCACATGACTTATTAGCTAAGAGCAAGCTCACGTAGACTGGCAGCTTGAAAGTGTAGTAGACCGTCTTGAAGACAGCTATGTTAGTGTAGGTCTTTTCATTAAAACTGTCAATGTTACGGGCAGCTACGAAATCTAAATATTGGCCTATACTTATTTGAGAAACAGCCTGAAAATAAAGTTGTCTATGGTTACATAACTGTTATTAAAAGGTTGATGTGAAAAAGGTAAAGGATAAGTCGTATAGGTACTCGTACCTACCTACCTCATTAAAAACTCTTATTAGTTCCGGATAATATTGCTTTTCGCTGAAATTGACCTTTAATTGTTCGAAAATAAGGGCCAATAGCAAGGAGGTGTCGTTAACCGCACGTGTACCGACGTCCGGTCGTCGGTACCAGCAGAGGGCGCCGCGGCGCGTCGTAGAGTTGTCGATTATGTCATCCATGAGAAGCATGCACGTTTGTAACTGAAATATGTTCATAATTTATTCAATTAAAGTTTTACTCATATAATATTGGCCTTGGTTGACTGGCAGAGAATGCCATCCGACATTAAGTCCGCCACAGTGCATTGTATTTATTTGCAGAAGTTTAAATAAATAAATATTGGCATAAGCAAGCGCTAACCTAGGTATTTATTTACCTGAGTGGATCTTTTATAGTACTTAAACTTACCAGTTCAATGCACCAGCCGAGAGTTCGTGCTTGTCGCATCGACCCTTCAAATAAATTCTCGGGTTTTTCCAACATTTGATAGGCAGTGACAGTCATGAGTCCATAAGTCTTCTTACCTGCAGCCGAGTTGTATTGTAAAAGCTGTAAAATTAAATAATTAACTTTATAAGGTTCTTTCAACTCCAATTTACGTAATAATGAGAATCACATTCGAAAAATGCGTTTTTATGTTATTTGTGACACAGCTGCTGCACAGATTTAAAAATGCACCTATAAAAACTTACTACTCTCATTCATGTTAAACTAAGTAATAGATTATTCTAATAAAATACTTACGTACTATTACTAATAATACATAATTAAAACAAACCTACTTTTTTAACGAATTCCTCAACATCAGGGAAGATTTTTAAACTTTCACCTTTTGTAAATGCAGAAACAATTTCAGGGAAACAGTCAAGAAACTTTTTATGTTCTGAATTATGTTCTTGTAGATCTTCTGCACAGATATTCCTTCTGAAATAGCTAAAAGTTAAATGATAATTTGGTTTTATTTATTACTACGTAAACTCTAAGGCTGAGTTGCACCACATAACTTTAACGGTAACTATGACGATAACCGGTACTTTTTGTATGGAGTTTGAATGTTTGTTGCAACCCAGCCTTAGAGATGCACTACCGTGCCCCCACCAAGTCGAGCAAAAAAGCGGCACGGCCGTACCATCCTTTTCTCGAAGCAATTCAGGCCATTTTCGACCGCCTGTAACTTCGTTGTGGATAAAACTAGAAGGCTGAATTTTCATTAGCTATGCAGGCATTGTAAAGACACGGTATATTTAAAATTTCATTCAATTTGAACCAGTAGTTTAAGAATTATAACGGGTCAAAGTTACTTAATTTTGTCACTCACTGACTGACTCACTGACTCACTGACTCACTCACTGACTCACCGATCATCAAAACTCTAAGGCACTTCTAGCAGACCTAGAAGCTTCAAATTTGGAATATAAGTAGTGTTTGGTGTATGAATCAAGGAAAAACTAAAATATTTGGGGGCACGGTAGTGCAACCGCCAAGTCGAGTAAAATTTTTCAATTTCGGTCCAGTTTTCTAGATACATAACTGCTGTCTACAAAATACAAAAAGAAATGAGATCCCATCAAAAACAATACTTGTCAAAAAAACCAAGTCTCGCAACTCAGTTGTTCTACGGTAAAAAGTTGTGAGATCCATGTAATACCAAGTCCAGGCCAGGAAATCTTTAACGTTTTACATAAATATATTGACTTGGCCATCGCATGAAAACACATGTAAATTAAATTATTTAGTGCGATGGCCAAGTCAATAATTTATGTAAAACGTTAAAGATTTCCTGGCCTGGACTTGGCATTACATGGATCTCACTACTTTTTACCGTAGAACAACTGAGTTGCGAGACTTGGTTTTTTTGACAAGTATTGTTTTTGATGGGATCTCCTTTACTTAACCTATTTCATGGGATAAGTAGGTAAATGACCACCACAAAAAATCTGAGTACGTACTCGTAGGTACAGTCTGCGTCACAGATATGGATTTAGAGGTCTGCGTCAAATAGTTCGTGACACACAAAGTAGCCAACAACTTCGCAACACGTCATTGATTCTATTGGTATAATAAAGTGTTGTCAACTTTTTGGCTACTTTGGGTGTCACGAATGATTTGACACAGCCAGTTTCAATTAAATAGAAATATCCACCTGTTCTCTGGCACTGATTTTATAGCATTTCTTGAAATGAGCATCGTCCCCCGTATGAACGGCCTGATTATAAAAGTTAACATTGTTAAAGACACTTCTGTCACACTGAATACATAAGAAAGAGTACCCACAAAACAAGTACGGACTACGGAGTTTCAAAACTCATGAAAAACTAATATCTAAGTAAATGAGGCATCAAAGTTATACAGTTCGTGATGCATAAACTGAGCTTTGCATTTGTGTGAGTGATCAACAAAAGTAGCTAGATAGAGTCAGACAAAAAACTTTCAAAAATTAATAATATGTATTATGTTTGGGTAAACTACTTAGGAAGGAATATAATTATTCAATGAGGCGCACTAAAATATCCAATAAAAACAAATTAGAATCGCTATGTTAAGTAATAGGGGGTAGGTATGAACAACGGAACATGAATATTTTATTACATTTTTCTTGGTTAACCTAAAGCCTAATGATAATGATGTCTCAACTTACTCACCCATCATCAAGTTTCGATTTGTGGTTCTTTAAAAAATCACATCAAATTGAACACAAACACAAAATGACTACCAAGACTTAAATAGGTAAGTACGTCACGCTGCTACCAGTACAAGAGGTGATGTGTACTACTACGGTATATATATACCTATACATAGTTAAATAAAACATTACTTTTTCTTATCTAATGATAAGGTGAAGACTTCACCTACCGCAGTGTAAACACTGCATTTTACATGTGCGCAAAAACAACGCAACATTCAGATTACTTAGGCTTCACGAATTATACTCGCGTAGAGGAGTACCTACTTCGTCGATATTACTTACGTACCAACTTACGTCTTAACGATCATACATTAATGATTATCGCTATTATAATTTACCGTTGTCATTATTACTCGGTACAGCCAACTTAAAAAATATATTTTAAATTAATACCTATTATGTATTCTGTGTTAATACTCGCAATCTATACATCTGTGATAAATATGAGTACATAAGCAAGTACCTATCTATCTACAATGTAAAAATATTATCTTGGTAAGGTCCACGGTCCTACCAGTAGTACTATTTCACTATGGTAATACAGACGCGACAAGGGGTACGGATTTTTTACAATACGTCCCCTTCAGAAAAACTTTCGTCTTCGAATATAATGGGGAGGGGGGGGATGTGTGTGTTTCTGTGGTTCCAGAAGAGTGAGGACTCATAAGAGAAATGAAAATAAAATATTACGGGGCTTATTCGTAATTTTTATATTAAATTTACTATGTAATCTGTAGATTTCTTTACATTATTATAAACATAACAAAATAATTTCTACATACTATATAAAAATCTAAGACTTACGTAGTATTACAGACAGACGACAGCACATCAGACTCTACATTTTTGTTGCAAAATCGTCTCTATTGCTTAGAAGATAAGAGGCCATCGAGATTAGCTTAAAAGCGTTATGAATAAGAGACAACATTATGTTTTAGACCCGTGTGATACAGTCAGAGTCAAATATTTTGTGACACATGGCCAAAAAGTTGATGTGCCGACTTGAATAATTCAAACAATTTTAAAGCGCATTTGTTTTACACATAAATAAGTCTGTAGGTTTGTAGAAAAGTAGTTCCTTCTAGTGATGTCATGGTTATCTACGTGTGCAATAATATATCCATCAGTTTAAAATACATTCAAAAATAGATTTTTTTATTNTTACATTTATCAATTATTTTTCGTGGTTAACCTAAAGCTTAATGATGTCTCAACTTACTCACCCATCATCAAGTTTCGATTTGTGGTTCTTTAAAAAAATCACATCAAATTGAACACAAACACAAAATGACTACCAAGAATTAAATAGGTAAGTAAGTACGTCACGCTGCTAACAGTACAAGAGGTGATGCGTAGTAGGTATATATACCTATACATAGTTAAATAAAACATTACTTTTTCTTATCTAATGATAAGGTGAAGACTTCACCGCACACACACTGCATTTATATATATATCATAAATATATCATGGAGTTTAAAGCNTTTTTATTAATCTTTACATGTTTCATATTATAACAACATAAATGTTGTGTTTATAATCGTTATGTTGGTGGTATTTTATTGCACTGCAATTTTATTTATATTTTAAATCCTTTAAAAAATATATAAACGTCTACGTTTCTTTGTTGACTCATACGTCATTTATTATTTTTTATTCCTTACGTCACATTATTTAAAAATAAATTACTATTCAACCCAATACCCTTGAATACATAAAATTCAGTCTTTGCCAATAATAATTTATTCAAACTTTTTCTATAAATAGAGACGCATATGAATTTTAGTTGACGTGAATAGACTATACATAAATAAATATAAATAATTTAACTGCCAAATATTTGTTACTTAATAGACGAAAGACATCAATTTCTTGTCATATTGTTTAATAATTTTAAAAAGTTTTTAAAACAGTGTGTTTTAACACCTAGGTTGTTGTATATCGATCTTACAATTTATTTGGCACTAGAAATATTAACTGCTCTTCACATTATGAAGTTAAAAACACATTTGTTTTTTTCATGAAGCATGTTAGTCCGTCGTCAAAATTATAATGACAACAAACACACTAAAAGTAAGAAATTACTTCATTAAAGTTATAAATAAGTTAAAGCTACGCTTCATGCAAACATAGGTACCTACAGAATATAGGCTTCAACTTAAATTGTGATAAGTTTTGGAAGTAACTAGATAAAACCCGTGAGAGTCAAACAAACATAATTCGGTTTGGCACCTTATAATTATTCATGACGTGTTTTGTGACAATAGTGCGGCCAAATTACATTTCTTTGACTGTTTCTATGTAGTTGAAAATAATGTTTTTCATTACAATAAGTGATACATATAAAAATAATGCCGTACAAGGTAACATTCGTACACAAGATAACGCTATGAAAGGTAGAACTCTCTGTACAACTTATAATTATAGCGCAGCTACTTTGTCATCATTTTTATTGATGTATCCATCCCTTTCACTCTTAGCGAGATACTAGCAAGAGCGAAAAAGACAGATAGATCAAAATAAAGTAGCTCCGCAATAAAAAAATATGTAATTTATTTTTTTCTATTGTAGATCATATCCAGTAATCTGAGCACTAGCGCTGGCGAAACCGAGTCTCCCGATTCAGTGGTAGGTAACGAATGAGCTCGTTTAACGATTCTTTCATACGCCGCGCGTTCGTGCGCTCGGTATATCTCTGGCAGCCCTAACGTCTCGTAAAGCCGCTTGATGCGCTGCACGTCAGCGAGGTCTTTGCTGCCGTAATACTCCTCGAATTCAGCGCGTTGTTGCGCATTGCAGAGCTGCAGCGCTGTAACCGCTAGCCAGGTGCACTTGCCTTCTTGGATGTCGGTGCCCATTTTGCCCGTGACCGACTCGTCGCCGAAACAGTCGATGAAGTCGTCCTGTAAAAAAAATAATTTGTATTAGTATTTTGAAAGCGAAAATTTGTGAAGATGGATGTCTACAAAAATATAAACTAAAGATTTTTGTGCTAAATGTTCTAAAGCAACCAACAGAACCTGACGTGGCAGTGGGCGGGGCTTACTTTACTTTGTAGAATGGATGAAAAGTTGTTAAGTGTCGACCCAATATAGGCAGAAGACCTCCCATTCTTTGGACTTCGGACCAATGATCTTATGTAAATCGCGGGATTTACCTGGATGCGGGCAGCACAGAAACGGTCGTTGGGGAAGGCTTTTATCCAGCAGTGGATGTCTGTAGGCTGAAAAGGAACACTCAGGATATTCCCACCTGGCTCTGGAAGAACTGGCCGAGCTCCAGGAAGATGTCCTCGGCGATCTTGTGCAGCTCGCGGTTGGTCTTGCCGGCGAGGTAGAGCCCGAGACTGACCGGCAGCTTGTACGTGTAGTACGCAGAACAGACGGTAGTCGCTCTTGTTACGGGGTGTTACGGTGTAAAATCGAAGTACGATTGATGCTATACGCCCCTTAAGAGGGCTTAGGGCCATCCAAAGAACGATAGAGCTTAGCGTTCTATGCTCCGAGTTTCTTCACGCAATCAAATCAGAGATGAGGATAACATAAAGTAACCGACATAGCGCGCATAATCGTCAAACTTAAGTGGCAGTGGGCGGGGCTTATATTAGCTCGTAGAATAGATGACTTTTAGTGCAGAAACGTTGGACTGTGAACCTGATGAATTTCGCCGTAAGCTTCTGGATGCGTACAGCGCAAGACCGGTCGTTGAGGGCGCCTTGTCCAGCTGTCCAGACATCTTATGGCTGAATGATTCTTTACCTGGCTCTGGAAGAACTGGCCGAGCTCCAGGAAGATGTCCTCGGCGATCTTGTGCAGCTCGCGGTTGGTCTTGCCGGCGAGGTAGAGCCCGAGGCTGACCGGCAGCTTGTACGTGTAGTACGCAGAACAGACTGTAGTCGCTCTTGTTGCGGTGTGTTACGGTGTAAAATCGAGGTGCAATTGAAGCTATACGCCTTTTAAGAAGGCTCAAGGTCATTTAAATAATGATGGAGCGTTCTAGACTCGAAGTTTCCCTACGTGATCCAATCAGAAATGAGTAGAACTAAAGTAACCAACATAGCGCGCAGAATCGTCAAACTTACGTGGCAGTGGGCGGGGCTTATATTAGCTCGTAGAATGGATGGCATTTGGGGCAAAAACGTTCTCAAGTAGCGACCAAATATAGGCAGGCCTTTCACTCGGTGGAACGATGATCTGGTGAAGATCGTGAGGAGTACCTAGATGCGGGTAGCGCAGAAACGGTCCTTTATCGATCAGTGGACTCTGTAGGCTGAAATGGAAAGCTCAGGATATTCCTACCTGGCTCTGGAAGAACTGGCCGAGCTCCAGGAAGATGTCTTGACAGAGCACGCAAAATCGTCAAACTTAAGGGCGTACATATTAGCTTGTAGAATGGATGGCATTTGGGGCAGAAACGTTGGATTGTGAACCTGATGAATTTCGCCGTAAGCTTCTGGATGCGTACAGCGCAAGACCGGTCGTTGAGGGCGCCTTGTCCAGCTGTCCAGACATCTTATGGCTGAATGATTCTTTACCTGGCTCTGGAAGAACTGGCCGAGCTCCAGGAAGATGTCCTCGGCGATCTTGTGCAGCTCGCGGTTGGTCTTGCCGGCGAGGTAGAGCCCGAGGCTGACCGGCAGCTTGTACGTGTAGTACGCAGAACAGACTGTAGTCGCTCTTGTTGCGGTGTGTTACGGTGTAAAATCGAGGTGCAATTGAAGCTATACGCCTTTTAAGAAGGCTCAAGGTCATTTAAATAATGATGGAGCGTTCTAGACTCGAAGTTTCCCTACGTGATCCAATCAGAAATGAGTAGAACTAAAGTAACCAACATAGCGCGCAGAATCGTCAAACTTACGTGGCAGTGGGCGGGGCTTATATTAGCTCGTAGAATGGATGAAACGTTATTAAGTGGCGACTCAATGTAGGAACCTACCGTTGATTTGATGAAGGTCGTGGGAAGTGCTCGGATGCCGGCAGCGCAAGAACGGTTTTATCGAGTAAAGGACCAGGTCTTTAGGCTGTAAGGTCGCTACCGTCGATTTCATGATGTTCGCGGGAAGTGCTTGGATGCGGGCACCGTGGGAACGGTTTTGTCCAGCAGTGGACGTCTTTAGGCTGAAAGTATTCTTACCTGGCTCTGGAAGAACTGGCCGAGCTCCAGGAAGATGTCCTCGGCGATCTTGTGCAGCTCGCGGTTGGTCTTGCCGGCGAGGTAGAGCCCGAGGCTGACCGGCAGCTTGTACGTGTAGTACGCAGAACAGACTGTAGTCGCTCTTGTTACGGGGTGTTAAGGTGTAAAGTCGAGGTGCTATTGAAGCTATAGGCCTCATAAGAAGGCTCAAGGTCATCTAAAGAACGATGCAGTGTTCTTAGCGCGGAGTTTCTCCACGTCTTCAAATCAGAGATGAGGATAACTAAAGGAACCGACATAGCGCGCAGAATCGTCAAACTTACTTGGCAGTGGGCGGGGCTTATTTTAGCTCGTAGAATGGATGGCATTTGGGGCAAAAACGTTCTCAAGTAGCGACCAAATATAGGCAGGCCTTTCACTCGGTGGAACGATGATCTGGTGAAGATCGTGAGGAGTACCTAGATGCGGGTAGCGCAGAAACGGTCCTTTATCGATCAGTGGACTCTGTAGGCTGAAATGGAAAGCTCAGGATATTCCTACCTGGCTCTGGAAGAACTGGCCGAGCTCCAGGAAGATGTCTTGACAGAGCACGCAAAATCGTCAAACTTAAGGGCGTACATATTAGCTTGTAGAATGGATGGCATTTGGGGCAGAAACGTTGGATTGTGAACCTGATGAATTTCGCCGTAAGCTTCTGGATGCGTACAGCGCAAGACCGGTCGTTGAGGGCGCCTTGTCCAGCTGTCCAGACATCTTATGGCTGAATGATTCTTTACCTGGCTCTGGAAGAACTGGCCGAGCTCCAGGAAGATGTCCTCGGCGATCTTGTGCAGCTCGCGGTTGGTCTTGCCGGCGAGGTAGAGCCCGAGGCTGACCGGCAGCTTGTACGTGTAGTACGCAGAACAGACTGTAGTCGCTCTTGTTGCGGTGTGTTACGGTGTAAAATCGAGGTGCAATTGAAGCTATACGCCTTTTAAGAAGGCTCAAGGTCATTTAAATAATGATGGAGCGTTCTAGACTCGAAGTTTCCCTACGTGATCCAATCAGAAATGAGTAGAACTAAAGTAACCAACATAGCGCGCAGAATCGTCAAACTTACGTGGCAGTGGGCGGGGCTTATATTAGCTCGTAGAATGGATGAAACGTTATTAAGTGGCGACTCAATGTAGGAACCTACCGTTGATTTGATGAGGGTCGTGGGAAGTGCTCGGATGCCGGCAGCGCAAGGACGGTTTTATCCAGTAAAGGACCAGGTCTTTAGGCTGTAAGGTCGCTACCGTCGATTTCATGATGTTCGCGGGAAGTGCTTGGATGCGGGCACCGTGGGAACGGTTTTGTGCAGCAGTGGACGTCTTTAGGCTGAAAGTATTCTTACCTGGCTCTGGAAGAACTGGCCGAGCTCCAGGAAGATGTCCTCGGCGATCTTGTGCAGCTCGCGGTTGGTCTTGCCGGCGAGGTAGAGCCCGAGGCTGACCGGCAGCTTGTACGTGTAGTACGCAGTCTTGAACTTGACGATAGCGCTGTAGCGCTCTACCGTGAACAGACTGTAGTCGCTCTTGTTGCGGTGCGCCATTGTGTAGTCGAGGTGCTGGCCGATTGACGTGTTAAGCAACGTCTGGAAAACGATTGAAAAGTTTGGAAGTTTATATCGGAGATTCTTTACATATTGGTACCAACGTTGGGACTGTCTAGATGTGGCGTTGGGGCCAACGTTTGGTCCAACTGTTTAACAACTCCTGGAAAAAGATTAGAAAGTTTCGAAGTTTAGATCGGTGATTCTCCACATGATATTGGCACCAACATTGGAACATGCTGTTTTTTAGATCCACATTGGACGAGTAGCGTTGGGACCAGTTGGGTCCAATGTATGGAGCTGGGATTAGGGTATCTAAAAATGACACGAAGAAAGATTTTAGTAATATTTACAACTTACTTTTCATAGTTACTCAAGAGTTTCGAAATGAGAAATATAAATTACGTCATATACCTAAGTGACTATAGAGTCATGCTGTATATTTATTTATTTATTTAATTTAATAATAATTAAGCATGCACTAGCAAAGCGAAATTCATTATCACATCTTCTTGACGGCGACTTAATGGAAAAACTCTTAGAGATGAAATACCTGCTGGTAGCTTACATGTTTGGCCGAGAAGTAAGGAATAGACTTCATTATAGAATAAATATACTAATAGCATAGGCTCAAATCAAAACCCTAGGAATCGCGGCGGAGGCGTGTCATATCTGACCTTCTTGGCAACGTATTGTTTTCATTGTTATGACATAGTCATATAAATAAACATTCAATATTTTATCAAAGCATATTATTTTATGTAATAAATATTCATCTTTTAATTAATTTATAACATCAAATAATATGCTATTAAAATAATATTCACACGACTATGTCATAACAATGAAAACAACACTTTGCTAAGCAACTATAAAGAAGGTCAGACATGACAATATAATATAATATACTATACATATACTTACAAAATATGCGCCTCCAACAGTACAAAATTCGCAAGTAGACCAGGCGTAGACCACCGATTTTTAATCGGCCGAATTTGTATGAAGAATCAACTAGGCTTAGCATAATGCTTACCTCATTAAACAGCTCCAATATGCTAGTATAGGTCCCTCGGTCCCCAAAATTGGCCTTCAAAGTGTTGTATATGGACATGTATATGAGGATGGAGTCGTTGACTGCTCCAAGACCCACGTCAGGCAGCCGGTACCAGCACGGGAGACCGCGACGCGTGGTCGCTCCATCCATCATGTCATCTAGGACTACTAGGTATGCTTGCAACTGGAAGAGGGTAACGTATCGTTTATACTTTGGACATTGCTTATACTTACAGGTGATAAAAATCAGCCTCCCTGAACAAAAGAGAGCAATGCCCGTTTTCACCATCAATCCCTAATTTTTAAGTGACCCCTACCTATGGTAACACATAACTGGAATTTTGTTTTCATAGGGGTCACTTAAAAATTAGGGATTGATGGTGAAAACGGACATAACGTACCGATTATAAGGGCCTGCGCCGCTTAAACTCCGCGTCCAGATTTTTTTAAAAGGCCGTTTTATTTTTTCAAGGGATAATACATAATAACAGTAATACATACTTACATTTGTCAAAAATTTATACACATGTGGTTTTGGTGTTTGGAAAGCATTCATTCAAATATTATGCAGAATATTTTATGTGCAGTAGGTATTGTTGTCATTGTTCGTTATTTTTTATGGGAAGTCTATTGCGTAGGTATGTAAAGCAGCTAAAATAGTTATTACAAAGGAAAACATTGTATTACCTATGTATAAATAAATCAGTGGTGTTCTGTACCACAGAGGTGCATTTTTGAATAGATATATATTGTACTGGATGCGTATTACACTACTTGTAAATATTAAAAATTAGTTCTTTTAAGTATGTACTTACCATTTCAACACACCAGCCCATAATACGTGCTAATCTAAGAGATTCTTCCGTGATATTTTCCGGTTTCTCCAGCATTTCATAGGCAAACACTGTGGAAAGTCCCCGCGCTTTTTTCCCTCCGCTCAAATTGTATTCTAGTACCTGAAATTATAGAGAAATTACATATTTTTTAACCATTATACAAAGCCAGTAATAAATTTTCATTCATTTATTGACGTGACGACCAGATAGAGATGGCTCAGTAAATTGCCTTGTACACATCGAGAACAGCTGTGGAGTCAATTCCTATCCCAGCACAGTTTATATATTTTATGATTAATCCCTCGCTCTCGCTTAAAGTGAGATGCCAGGATGCGCGACAGTGATAGCCAGAAAACATGGGAAAAGCATCAAGAAGTAACTCTACTTTCGTAGTGGTAGGTGGCATGTACTTTTATTCCTTATCAGCGTCGAATATTATTCGATACGATAATCTACCATAGCAGGTAACATGTAAAGCTATACCGTGAAGTACCTAAGTTTTATTGTATGTAAACAATTATGTAAACATTTTGAAATTACCCTTTTTAACCAATTGCCCACTTCAGGCACTTCGGCAAACTGTGGGCTCCTGGCTAGGCTGTCGGTTATAGTAGGCAAAACGTCCAGAAAGTTGTCCTTTTCTTTTTTGGCCTGGGATACAGACACGTTTGTGGACATTCTTACAGCATTGATTGACTGCAAGGGTCTGGAAAAAAAAAATTACGAATGAAATACAAAAATAGGAGTATCAGGAATTCAGGATGAATGAATTTCTGTGGATACAGGAAGGCTTGTCTGTATATTTTTTTTAAATATAAGCAATTTGTAAATATAAATTACTAGTAACCCCGTCAATCCCTCGTGGTAAGCTAAATATGCTTGTGTTACGAGTGGGTTCTCCACAATAGTGGCGGGATTCCTCGGATCACGAGTCGGCCATTCCGACCCCTTCACCGTTCGTTGTATTTTAATGTTACGTTATAGCAAGCCTACTTGCTATGAAGTAAAATACATCTGCCCTGCTGTGCACAAATGAGATATGACTGATATCAAGACAGTGCGTTTATTTTCCTTCAATCATCCGTAATTTATGATTGGCGGTTGTATGAGAGTAGGTACGATAATAACTTCAGAAAACCGATATCTCGGAATTAAATCCAGCAAGGGTATATGATCCTTTTGGGTGATGAGCCCAAACGTTTGATGGAACTATGTGAGTCATGGAATGTTATGTGACATTCGCGAGGTCAACCGGTCCAACGATCTTAGTCTCATCTTAAAAGTTTGTTTTAAGATGAATCACCTAATAAAATTCGATGTTTTCCCATTAAAAATCCTACAACAGGACATTAAATGGTGTAGTCCGGTGTAGAGCGATTTTGAGGTGTAAAAACAGAGGACACGTTATTACGTATGAACATGCTCGTGACTTATGGGAAGAATGTAGGTAGGTAGTTACACCATAAACCTCTTCATTAGGTATTCTGAATATTTTAATAAATTATAAATTGGTACAGTCACATCATCAATTACAGATGAAATTTCTCTTTAGTTATAAGTGGTTGAGGATTCGAAATAATGCATAAGAATCGCAAAACTAAAACGCCTAGTTGTGTTAAGTATACAGTATAGTAACTGATACTGGAGGGCGAACTAGCGTCATAGCAGCGCGTTTATTGTAGCTAGCACGATAGTTATTTATTTATGCAAATCATATGCGTCAACTAAATGCATAATGAAAGATGACACCAAAATAAACGAAGAATATAATTTTAAATTCATTCTTTTGCATAACAATGTTTTATCAGATGAAGACAAGAATAGAAATACATAATTCTTATGAGATTAGGTTATTGTTAAAGTTCTAAAGGGAAACAGGATAAGAACTGATTTGAATAGAATACTCAATAGGTATGTCATGAAATAAATAATAATTGAAAGATGCCTACTTAATTATTATTTAATTAAATATGTTTGTTTAATGTGGACTATCTAGTGATAATCACTTTGAATCAACTTATTATGTTGTTATTTACCATCTCACTCCTAAATCTCTGAACCAATTTGGTGTAGAGAAAGAGTGACAAATTATGAAACTTTAGAGAAGGGTAATAAGACTATGTTTCTCACAAAATTAATATTATAAAATTAGAATTTTTAAATTTTAGTTTTTAAGTAATTTTAGATTTATGTAAATACAGTGTGAGTCACGATAAAGTGCACATATGAAATTAGGTGAAAGTAGACCTATTTTTATAGACAAAAAAGAGCTTTTTTTTAATTTTTTTTTTAATTATAGATTTTTTTTCTTCCAATTACTTATTGTAAAGAAAATGTAATATCTTTTACACTAAGAGGTATACCCTGATAAAATAAAAACAGTAATAATGCTAAATAACAGACGATACTAAAAAAATACATACTCAGAAAATGCCAACAAATAATAAAAAATGATACTTTTTGAAAATAACCTGCTTTTAAAACTATCATAGCAAATGTTGTGATGGGGATAGACATGCGATTTTTGGTTTTACAAAGGTAATATGATAGAGAATAATACAAATTAACAAAAACCACCTGTTATAGGGGCATTTTTTGGAGAAATTCATCAAATAACAAAAAAAACACAAATTTAAAAGAATATTTTTTTCAAAAAGTATCATTTTTTATTATTTGTTGGCATTTTCTGAGTATTTTATGTATTTTTTTAGTATTGTCTGTTATTTAGCATTATTACTGTTGTTATTTTATCAGGATAGGTATACCTCTTAGTTTAAAAGTTATTATTTTTTCTTTAAAATAAGTATATGGAAGAAAAAAAATTTTTGACCTCTTTTTTGTCAATAAAAATAGGTCTAGTTTCACCTAATTTCCTATGTAGGTACACTTTATCGTGACTCACACACACTGTATATTAAACTAAATTATTAAAAAATAAAGTTATCAAAACTAAACTTCTGATATTTTACTAAGGGGACTAGTCACAACAACTTAAATCTAATTTTAAATGCCAAAAAGAGAAGCATTATTAAAGCATCAGCAGCTTAAAAAGGGGTGTATGATTATTTTGTAAACCAATAAATTTATCAGATAACACATGTTTAAGGGAGCTAAGCTGTAGACACAAGCTCTAGTTATCACTAAATGCAGTAAATTTCATAAAATTACCATCGCCATTTGTAAAATTATGGATGCAATAAATTTTTGAGTAGGTACTACTATTCAACAAGCTAATTATGTTGTCCCATTAATACATTTCTGATGTTCTAAAATAGAAAGCTGTAACTAAATTGCTGTTAACCCTACGGTGGTCGCGCTCTAAAATATTACGTTAATTTTCGCGTGGATTACATGCGTAAGCAATTTTATGGAGTAAAAAAAGAAGACATCTCTTTATAAAAACATGTTTCTTTATTTTTTATATTTAATTATTGTTATGTATTAGTTAATGAAATAATCAAACAAAGAAACGAGCAGTTCTTCTCAGTTTATATAAATTAGCCAAAACATAAAAATCATCATTTTTCATCAAGAAAATGTCAACTTTGGCAGTTTAGAAATTATTAAGTACTAATTGCACTTATTTATTAATTATATTGGAGATACAAGCCATCATGGAATAATAAGGACAAATAAATTTGTTGCACGAATTACAAGTATTTCCAGTACTTTGATTTCGCTTTCTTCCGCAGTCAAAGTAGCGACCTAAAAAACTCCGCTGTGATGGTTCTGAGTTAGATAGCTAATCACTGGTCTGAGAAACTTGTTCTCTTGTGGAAGAATGTGCACTTCTTCATCAGAAACCGAAGAGTCGCCAGAAGATACGCTTTCATTGTCAATTACTTCTAGCCATTCTGCAATTTGTGCTTTTTGTCTATTGTTCATGATTTTGATTTTTATCTGTAATACAATGATTTTATTGAAAGCACAAATGTAAATACATATCTCTGCCGTAATTATTAATAATAAAGCATTAATTTACACCAATATAGACGTGCGCGCCGGTCGAAAAAAATCAGGCGGCGGCGCGCCACGAAAAAATCCACGGCGGCGGCGTAACGCCGGCGGCGTGGGATTTTTCAACTTTGTATATTAAGACGTATAANCGCGAGTGTAGATCAGCCTCCCTTACTCAACAAAAGAGAGTAACGTACCGATTATAAGGGCCTGCGCTAAAACTCCGCGCCCAGATTTTTTTTAAAAGGCCAGTTACTTATGTCAAAAATTTATACATATGTATTTAGGTGTTTGGAAAGCATTCATTCAAATATTATGCAGAATATTTTATGTAGAGTAGGTATTGTTGTCATTGTTCGTTATTTTTTATGGGAAGTCTATTACGTAGGTATGTAAAGCAGCTAAAATAGTTATTACAAAGGAAAACATTGTATTACCTATGTATAAATAAATCAGTGGTGTTCTGTACCACAGAGGTGCATTTTTGAATAGATATATTATGTACTGGATGCGTATTACACTACTTATACATATTAAAAATTAGTTCTTTTAAGTATGTACTTACCATTTCAACACACCAGCCCATAATGCGCGCTAATCTAAGAGATTCTTCTGTGATATTTTCCGGTTTCTCCAGCATTTCATAGGCGAACACTGTGGAAAGTCCCCGCGCTTTTTTCCCTCCACTCAAATTGTATTCTAGTACCTGAAATTATAAAGAAATTACATATTTTTTTACCATTATACAAAGCCAGTAATTAATTTTCATTCATTTATTGACGACCAGATAGAGATGGNCAAATTTATAATATGTATAAAAAATACCCTTATGTCCAAAGGGTACTACAAGGTTCGAGACTAAATTGATGACAAGGATGCGTGGTCAGTTCAGTTTGCGCATATTTGATGTACTTAAATTTGGCTATTCGTTAGATAATTCCTGGCAATAAGTGGTGACTGAGTTTGTTCCGGCGTTTCTTCTCAGCACTTGCCATATGTTTGTCTCGAAGCGCTGGTAGGGCCCAAAAGATAAGGAGACATGTAAAGTGCCCCATAAGGGCTACCTCTTTTTTATATTTGACGTTCAAAAGTGCCACTTGTGGTCTAAACTGAATAAATATTTTTGATTTTGATTTTGTCTCGGCGCGAATTTTAAACTACCGGCGGCGGCGGCGGCGCGCTGACTCCTTATGGCGGCGGCGCGCCGCGGCGGCGCGCACGTCTACACCAATAATGCAAAAACAAACACATTAAGTAAAAAATGTAACTTAAAAAATACTTACGTAATTGGTCGCGCGGATTACACGGGTAGACCATTGGCATTTACGGGGCTCCTGCGAGACATCCACAAGCGACCTGGCGCTCACACATCATTAAGTGTGATTTTCGACTATGCAACTTAAAGTACACGAAGTGTCAAAAAGGTCGCGTTGACCGATTTCAAAATATTCGACAATTTACACGAGTGGATTACGGGTGTAATCCGCGCGACCACTGTAGGGNAATTGCTGTTAATGAAATAAATACTTTAGAAATTAATGAAAATATTGTTTTATATTGTATATACCTTTAAACATATGTTTAAGTTTAATAAAACATTTAATTAAGTGCCTACTTAGTATTGAAACTACGAATTGCGATGGTAAACATTAATAAGTTTACTTAAAAAGCTAACTTATTCATGTCAAGTAAATTCGATTTTGCTTACCTGCATATAAGCCCATTTTTGTTGAAGAATTTGTTGGTCGTTGTGGTCATAAACCGTAGAAAAGATGAGGAATTCATTGTTAAATTCAGTTATGCGTTCAACTTTCACTGACCGACTTCGATGGTGACACGGTAAGTAATGATGGTTTTTGGTGCTTAGCTAAGTTCGATACCTCCGACTCTTTCTGTTTATTCGACTGAGCCGACAAGAAATGATTTGTTAGAGGAAAGAATTTATTAGAATTAATTATTGCACAAACTATTCCGCTTCATCTGACCATGACTGACGGCTGTCTGACACTGACATTACGTGACAGAGCCAGCTGACGGCATGTCACATTGACAAATATAACTTTTTTAATAAATCACGGCATTGAACATTGCTTAAATAGCTCCATAACGTTATTTATGTGGGTAACGTTATTGTTAATGAAAATTTGGGGGACCTCCTCTCAGAGGTGCGATTGTGTAAAGTTGTTCATGGATGGACAATGAATACAGCCAGTTGCACGCTGCAGCTGTACCCAGGCAGTAGGAAATGGTGATCGTATAGAGCTGAGCGAATGAGGGCTATCGTTTTTATACCTAACAGTTGGCACCCCTGGCGATTGACAGGACCTTACTCTACAGTGGCGCCATCCTGATGAGTGCAAATGCGATAGTCCTCCTACCACTTTAGCGCTCACAAGTTGGCGCCACTGTCTTCGCTACTAGCAAGTGACAGGACCTTACTCTACAGTGGCGCCAACTGGTGAGCGCTAAAACGATAGCCCTCATTGTGATGGTTCTTCCGAACGACATATTCATCCAAAACGAAGTAATTTATGAAAGTTGCAGCAGTGCGCAATGCTCATTAACTTATTCTTGGTACAAGAGTACTTATTATTATTCTGTGGTACAAGTTCTCGCCAGCTCCTTACCCCCTTACTAATAAAAAGTTACACAGTTGTTGAACACTGTTGTAAAATGACTGTTCAACGAGCGTGTAAGTTTTATTAGTAAGGGGGTTAGAGTTTAATTCCTATCCTACTATTGAATACTGAGTAATAAGTACTGAATAAACTTTTAAACGATCATGATCGCATAGGTAATGACTACGACTGCAACTTTTTTATTTGGGCAGGTGTAGGCAGGGTTTAAAAAACAAGTATTGTTATTACAATTATTTCAAAATTTTATTTTTTTTACTTCTTCAACAGTATACACTTGGATGTTGTTCTTATCGATATTCGATTACGACTAGGATTTGAATCACTAAAAAACAATTTCCAAAAAATTTGTTACCTATAATTAATAGTAATCCACTAGGTCCTTATGAAAGGTAATTTTTATTTTAGCGGACTGATTCGATCAATCCAACTGAGATACATTTTTATTGCATTTTCTATTTCTACATTCTCTAATTACATCGTTGTGCTCATTAAAAAATGTGCAGTGCTAATGCATTCGGTATCGTTAGACCCTATTTAATAACTTAATTAAGAATAGAACTATTACTTAGTAATAATAATTATAAAATGCTAATAATAAAATAATACAAGATCTTTTAGACGCTTCGCCTGAAGATGTTATCTAGGATTTTGAAGAACAAATCGTGGGGCAGTCCCCTGGTGACTTGTTGGATTTGTGTCCTAAGGAGATCGTATGTGGCTTCTTCGAAGACCGAGTATGTGTGAGGGAGTTGAAGTTCTTCATAGAGATCTTTGATTCTAGCTACAGCTTCTGGCTTTGGGCTACCGTAGTATTCCTCCATGATAACCCTCTGCGATGGTGTCGCCCTCTGCAAAGCGACGACAGCTAACCAGGTGCATTTGCCGTCTTGGATATCGGTGCCGTTTTTGCCAGTGACAGCTGGATCTCCGAAGCAGTCTAGGAAATCATCCTGAAAAAGACAAAAATATTGTCATTAGACAAATAGCCTATGGAGTATGAACCGCTGGAGGACATAAAACACCACACCATTTAGCGGTTGTCTAATGTTTTATTTAACTAAGTAAGTATGTAACTAACATATCGGTAAATCGACGGCCGGTAACTTGCGACCGGAACATAATAAGATAATGATGTTACTTTATCAAATTCATGTTTAGTAGTAAATAGGTACGAGTATTTAACGTCACAAATATTTATTATACTACATGTACTCTTTTGAAAAAACTTTTCTAAGTGAGAGAAGACTGAATGGAATTGAAACTTACTTGTATCTGGAAGAACTCTCCCATTTCCAACAGGATTGTCTTCGCTTGTCTATGGGTTTCTGGGTCGTCTACTCCGGCCATGAGGAGGGCCAGGGTGACAGGCATTTGGAAGGTGTAATAGGCGCTCTTGTACTTAGTGATGGCTTCGTATTTGCCCATGGTGAATTGAGACAAGTCCGGCTTGTCAGTCTTCGAGAGAGATTGATCTAAGTACTGGCCGATTGAAGATTTTAGCAGCATCTGAAAGAACAAAACATTGATTGAAAAAACTTCATCAATACGTAATATAGTCTAGTAGTCAATTAGAAGTACCTATTTCGATACGCGGCCACAATCAAACAGTAATACGAAAAGAATTTTAATTCATATTTCCAGTAAAATATCTTCTTCCATTAATTAAAAATACGACGAAGCGTATCAAATTCTATTAACGCTTGACGATATTTTCAGTGGTAGTAAGTTACTCGTAGATCGTAAAATATGATATTTGCCGTTATTGCATTGCGGTTTCATGATTTTCAGAGAAAATAAACAATCAGGCATTTTAAGAATGCGAACGAACAGCGGATGTTCACAAAGAAAATACCTCTGAAAACTGAACTGGAAGATCTTAGGTAGGCGTATCAGAAGCTCTAAATCACACCCAAGAATAAAATCAATCCTGTGATGATGATTCGTCTCAAAATAGAAGTTCAACCGATAGTTTTGGTTTGAATTGAGTATTAATCGTCTTCTTGCGTTATCGAATCAGAAATGAGGAGATCCGCAGGAAAACCAAAGTGACTGACATAGCCCGCAGAATCGCTAAAATCAAGTGGCAGTGGGCAGGGCACATAGTTCGTAGAGCTGATGGCCGCTGGGGCAGAAAAGTTCTTGAGTGGCGACCACAAGCCGGAAGACGTAGCGAGGGCAGGCCTCCCACTAGGTGGACCGACGATCTGGTGAAGGTCACGGGAGGTGCCTGGACGCGAGCGGCGCAGGAATGGTCTTTGTGGAAATCCTTGGGGGAGACCTTTGTCCAGCATTGGACGTCTTTCGGCTGAAACGAACGAATAAGCGTCTTTTAGTGACTTAGATCATGCATACCTCATTGAAAGTCTCCAGCACATTCTTGTAGTACGGCTTGTTGGAGAAGTATTTCTTCAGCGTGGAGTACATGGCCGACTGGACCTGAACGGCGTCGTTGATGCCGCTGAGTCCGACGTCGGCGCGGCGATACCAACAGGGGGCGCCGCGGCGGAGCTCCGTGCCTTCCATTATGTCGTTAAGCAGCAGCTGGTGTGTGTGGAACTGTGGAAGAATAGGTACGCGGTTAGTTTTATAAGATTCTAAACTTTCGCGTTCCATTTCAAACTAAAACAGAAAGATCACCGTCAAGCCTTGAGTTACTTAATGTAAGTGTCTTTCTGTTTTAGCGGAGAAAGTTTATATTCTAGAGGGGTTTCACAGTCTGGAGTTTCTTGTGGTTTTGCTTCTTTGTGGGAATCGAAAAGGTTGCCATAGCTCCTAAAACTAATTCTTGCTTGAACCTTTTTAATTTTATGCGGGGTAATATCCGAAGTGCTTTATTGGCCACAGAGCTATGTACTTATCTAGAGAATGCCTATGTGGGAACAAATATCAAATTGGTGGTTCATAAAGGATTTTTTTTCTGTCCTAATGCACCATACGTACCTATTTACAGTTTGCGAGACGTGTGCATCCACCTCTTCCATTTTAAATCGAAAATATACAAAAGACAGTAGATGAAAAAGTTTGGGTAGGTAGCTTCCTAACTCTGTTTTTTACGAACCTTCGCGGATAGGATTTCTTTATATTTTGGGATTTGGTAGAGGCATAACAAAGGCCACGCCAAACGGACCGTTAAGTAGGTACCTACCCTACATACTGTGAGCAAAAAAGTTCTACATCAACAGCGCCACAGAATAAATAATAGTAGACAGCGCTGAGGAATATAATCAATCACGCAGTTCACTCATAGACAGCGCTTCTTTAACTCTAACTAAAGCTATTAAGTAACAAAACGAAGATGCATTACAATGCAAACATGAACCAATTACTTAGTACGCTAATTGCTGTTGATGTGCATTGTTGCACTTGGAAGAGGTTGTAAAGCTAACCCACTCCACACTTATATTCGCATGATATCGTATAGTAAGATAATATCACAATATTCTCGGAGGTGAGTTGTGTATGAGTTTCGCTACGAAAAACCGGTCTAGGCAAGGAGTCTACTGCGCAAAACAATTTTAATTTAAGTATGTAATTAAATACGTCCGTCTCTTTCACTCACCCTAAAGTGTAGGGTAATCAGAGATAGTAGGGCAGTGGGTAGAGCATTTTATAGATCTACCTACGTAGCTAAAGTTTAAATAAGTTGCGATGCAAAAGGGTTTAACAAATTAGACCAATGTTACTCATATCACAATATAAAAATATAATAAAATATATCGAGGTTGTTCAACCAACTAAATGAAGCCGTGAATTGGTCATGTAAGGCAGGCGTATTCCCGATACAAATATGGAACCGAGTCGAGTTTTATCTCATTTCACTGATAAAATGGCATGTTAACGTTCTTTTTTAATGCAAAGGCAGTGTCGCTTTTAAGCTCTGACCAAACATTGTTACCTTTCCGATATTTTTTTTTCTTTTTAACGATCAATACGTAGTTAACTATGTAGGTACCTACTTAAACTTTTTTTTTATCAGCGGCCAGCGTTCCCTAATCTCTGTCAGATCGATGTTAAATACTTAATTGTTTGCTATGATAAAGTTAGTATTTGGCCGTTGCTACCCCCAAATTAGGTATCTAATACCTACACATGCATAGTGATAAAAATCCTGTTTTATCATACCTCGCCAAACAACACCAAGGTCACCGCACTGTTTGAACATCGCATATGTTTCAACAAAACTAGTTTTTGTGCGACTGTTCGTAATGTTTAGCTATAAAATTAATGAAGCTATCACATCACGTCCGTGACTTTGGCTGATAAGCTCGTTTGAATAATTAATCAAAGTGAATGTAGGTAAATATGTAAGTAAATATAAAACGAATTGCATAAAGGTCATAGTCAATTTCAATCAAATAGTCAATTTGTGGATCAAACATCTGTTCGCGTTAACTTTAATTGTACAAGGTCCTATTAGGTAGGTATGGTGACGTTTCATATTATTTTAATGCTAGTTCCTTCAACGATAAACACGCGTACTTAATCTACAATAACATAGGAACTAAGGAAATATTTTTCCTCTACACAGAGGTATTGAATACAAACAAAGTTAATAATTTACCTCGATAACACGATGATGATTGTGTAACATTGTTTTGTGTTACCTCAAATCGAACAATAACGTAAACAAAGTACAAATCTCCATAATTTGAATGTTCGCGTTATAAACAAAGTTACGTGAGTTGTCGTTCCTTTTTCCTTTCGTGATCATGCCAAAACGAACGCACAGCTAATTGAAACGACTCCTACACCCGTATTCACAAACATTACTATGAGGTCTTAGAGTAGGCGCACACCGTTGATTTTTCGTCGGCCGATAGTTTAGTCGGGCAGTTGATCAGTATGGGCACAGATAATATAATNGTTTTTAATACTTATTAATTAATTTTTATTATGAGTCATTGGCGTATATGGGGTTATTTTCAGGGGGGGGGGACTACCCTCACTTGAAGCAGCTCCAGGGGTAGGGGGTTAGTCGTCGTCCCCCCCCCCCCACATTTTTTAAATTTAGACTTGCATGAATATTTTCACATATTGTTAGAATAATAAATCAAAACTTTATACGAAGGTACGTACCTACCTAGCTAGACAGACTCACATTATTTCTCATGAATATTTCAGGTAAGTAATATCGTCAATTTCACAGAATTCTTTTATTCTAAATTTATACTATCGTTTTTAAATTTATTAAACCCTTATTCATTATTAAAATATCCTAACTCGATGCGTAAATCTTTATCCCGAAATAGGGGACATGAGTTCACGAACTTAGAAACAGAGCAAAATTTTATCACGAAACAGGATCCAAATAAGAGGTCCGCAGAACAATTAATATTAAAAAAAATTTAAACAATATAACTATAATTTATGTATTAAGTTACTGTCAAAAGACCAAACTTTAGCATACAAAAGCTTTCATACTGATATCATCCTTGGTTATTTTTAAATAAATTGTTAAAGTCGTAAGAGCCTTAATATACCGAAGTAGGGGGCACTTACCTTATATCACAATATAAAAATAAATAAAATACATGTATCGAGGTTGTTCAACCTACTAAATGAAGCCGTGTGTATGGTCATGTAAGGCAGGCGTATTCCCGATACAAATATGGAACCGAGAGTCGAGTTTTATCTCATTTCACTGATAAAATGGCATGTTAACGTTCTTTTTTAATGCAAAGGCAGTGTCGCTTTTAAGCTCTGACAAAACATTGTTATCTTTCCGATATTTTTTTCTTTTTAACGATCAATACGTAGCTAACTATGTAGGTACCTACTTAAACTTTTTTTTTATCAGCAGCCAGCGTTCCCTAATCTCTGTCAGATCGATGTTAAATACTTAATTGTTTGCTATGATAAAGTTAGTATTTGGCCGTTGCTACCCCCCAAATTAGGTATCTAATACCTACACAACACATGCATAGTGATAAAAATCCTGTTTTATCATACCTCGCCAAACAACACCAAGGTCACCGCACTGTTTGAACATCGCATAAGTTTCAACAAAACGAGTTTTTGTGCGACTGTTCGTAATGTTTAGCTATAAAATTAATGAAGCTATCACATCACGTCCATGACTTTGGCTGATAAGCTCGTTTGAATAATTAATCAAAGTGAATGTAGGTACCTAAATAAGTAAGTAATGCCAGTTTTCACCATCAATCCCTAATTTAATTTTTAAGTGACCCCTATGGTAACATTTATAAGAGGAATTTAGTTTTAGGTCACTTAAAAATTAGGGATTGATATAGTGAAAAGGGACATAAGTCAATTAAACACGAATTGCATAAAAGCCTTACAAATAGTCAATTTGTGGCTCAAGCATTTTTTTTTCGCTTGTATAATATACAAGGTCCTATAAGGTATGTATGTGACGTTTCACATAATTTTAATGCTAGTTCCTTCAACGATAAACACGCGTAATCTACAATAACATAGGAACTGCGGAAATATTTTTCCTCTACACAGAGGTATTGAATACAAAGTTAATAATTTACCTCGATAACACGATGATGATTGTAACACTGTTTTGTGTTACCTCAAATCGAACAATAACGTAAACAAAGTACAAATCTCCAGTTCGCATTATAAACAAAGTTACGTGAGTTGTCGTTCCTTTTTCCTTTCGTGATCATGCCAAAACGAACGCACAGCTAATTGAAACGACTCCTACACCCGTGTTCACAAACATTACTATGAGGTCTTAGAGTAGGCGCACACCGTTGATTTTTCGTCGGCCGATAGTTTAGTCGGGCAGTTGATCAGTATGGGCATGTATGGGAGTGCGCACACTACGCCGATTCGATTTGGCCGATTCTTCATACAAATTAAAATCGGGCACAACTATCAGCCAACTAAAAATCAACGGTGTGCGCCTACTCTTACAGTGCGCGTGGACGCACAGGGTGACACAAGAACCAATCATAGAGCTCCATTCAACGCTGTGCGTTCGATTTGCTGCTTCACAGCAAGGATCGTTTGTGAATGCGGGCGCTACTGTCTTTACATCGTTTATTTATTACGACTGAGTGATGTTCAATTGTTTCAAACATGGTAACCGTCAGCAGCGAGTCCAAAGGTTCATTGTTTACTGTTTCTTCGTAACGTACCTAAACGTGAATCAATAAGTTTATGAATTGTCTTCACGATGAGTCTCTTTCTCCTTGCTCTACATTTTTATTAAAAGCTTTTCATAGTGATTTCGATATTTGAAATAGCTTTAGCGCTATACCTACCTAAGGGTTACTTATGCTTTACAACTCTAGATTTGTTTATAATAACATACCTACTATTTCCAAGTTTCAGGGGTTGAAATAATATTAAAAGGTACTCGTAAAATTGCTCTTACTCTACATTTTTTGTCAAAATACTACTTAGTTAATTATATGTGAACCTACTATAGGTATTCGCATTACCTCTTTAATATTAGTGAGTGTTCATAACAATAACATAGATTACATAATACTAAATAGACGAGAATCGAATTTGCGTCATCTTCTCAAATTGACAGACTAATGTCCGTTTACACCATCAATCCCCAATTTTTAAGTGACCCCTATGAAAACAAAATTCCTGTTATGTGTTACCATAGGGGACACTTAAAAATTTGGGATTGATGGTGGAAACGGGCATAAGCCTATTGCGTCTAATGGTTCCAATATTCCCACAAACTTAGTAATAAAAAGCAAGACTTACCATTTCAGTGCACCATCCCATAATGTTGGCTAGATGAATGTTCTCTGGGGTAAGGTCATCGGGCTTCGCCAGCATCTTGTAGGAGAGTACGGTGGCGAGACCCCGGTTTTTCTTGCCGTTGGGAACATTGTATTGTAACAGCTGGAACAAGAACTAATATTGAAATAAAAAAAGGAAAATTCTACTAATGGCTCTACCTACCTACGCTATATTTGGTTAACATTGAAAATTATCATAATTTCTTGTACCTAAGTGTAATAAAAGATTTTAATTAATATATGCCTATTAAAGTAATCAAAACCTACCATAGAAAGGTATAAAGAAATGCCCTTGATCATAACAATGGGTTACACAAATATAAAATTATAATAAATCACCGTAACAATACAAGTTGAAGGTAAAACAATGCACCAAGAAAGATAAATTAAACCATTTGACAACAAAAGATTATCAACAAACATTTAAGCAGTTGTTTCTTACTTTTTGGTGTGCTTAGCAATTAATAATAATGGTGTCTGACACGTAAGTTTTGTTGGCACAAGTTATAAAAAAGACCATTGTCTGCTTTTTATAAAGCTTTAATGATGTAACTGTTCTAAAAAAGGCTCCTAAAGACATATCGGTGTATCTTTTGTTTGGAAGTAGTAACTCTACTTTCGATAAACCAAAAGGAACCCCACTTTTAAGTAAGTTAAAAAAAAACACAAAATGAAATCACCTATTGGAATTCGGCATTTCTTTGTCATTAATTCAATACACTATTACACAATAGCTAGTTTAATGTAGGTATAATATTAATATAGTTTTTTAATTATGACCTGCTTTGTCACGTCGACTGACCATTGCACTGTTACTATACCTCAAAAGACAGGGATAGATCCAGAGATCTTATTATTGTGTTACATTTTGGCATTTGTGGCCCACTTGCACAAAAAAATCTAAACTTGTATAATATATTATATTATCATCTTAGTCAGCTGTAAGTTTCTTTGATAGTTTTGAATTCGATTTAGCATACATTTCATTTATTTGAAAAATCCAATCGTCCAAGTGTGCCTTAATGTAAACACTCAAATGACTACGACTAAATTATAATCACGAAGACAGAACGTGTTTAAAATTACGAACGTGTCTTTATTCATAATGGACTTTGCATTTAAAGTCGTGGTATGTATACTTTAAAATTATTTTTTGTATCGGTCCTTGTCCAAAATCAGCTACGGTATAGACACTGGTTGCCAGTGAGACGTACCTTAGCCAACCACTTGCTGGCCTCAGGCACGTCGGTGTGCTTGCCAGTCTCCGTGAGGTCCCGCACGATGTCTGGGAAGCAGGCCATGAACTCCCGAGACTGGTCCTTGGAGACGGCCAGTCCGCGGGTCGCCATTGGCATTTCTTGGGGTGTCAGAGTTGACAGGTATCTAAGGAGTAGAAAACGATTTAGTTGGTCGACCGGAAAACAATTCTACGTTAAGCTAAGTATCTAATCTATCTGCTTAGTTTTCAGCGGGACAGTTAATAAACAAAAATAAATCTCCTTAAAGTAGTACCTGAAAAGAATTTTGTTGGCTTCTTGATGAACAAAAAAAGTTCTATGTAACCTAATTGAACATCTGAGCACGTAATTCAGAGTTATTCAATTGTTTGCAGAGAAAATTTGTTCAAAAATTCTTCGACGCCGGTGTTTATCGTTCTACTCGTATTTAATAAAATTCAAGTTATCATTTTTAGCGATTACCATTACGTATTCTGTGTCAATACAATAATTATGTTAACACTACTGTGTTAACCAAATTGTGGGTGTGGTGGACGGTATAATTAGGAAAACTACAGATGGTGTATCTTATTGTTTTCATTCGTTCAATTATGATTTATTATCACTGAACGTTACGGATACACACTTTGGGGAATTTATATCGATTAGCATTATAGTGTTAAATTGAACAAAACCATTTTAGTGCAGATTTAATATTTTCCCCCGTTTACTAGAACTTAAAAGTAGATACAGAGGTATTTACTGATTTTCTCTGTAACACTCTTGTCCTTAGTTTATTTCAATTAAAATTCCTGAGCGACTGGTTAGAAATCAACTCGTCGTCGTATGGGGTACATGATATGGCCGCAAACAAGTTTCTATTTATAGAACTAAGTGCAAAACATTAAACATTACGATGTCTAAACACTACGCACTTTGTTACTGTGTAATCATTTGTGTTACTATTTAATATTTATATTATTTAACTTCCTTTATCAACGGGAACCCATGAATTTAAATCGTTACTGTAAATTATTTTAGTTTAACAGAACAATGTGTTGCACTCCGCACGGCTTTGGTGTTACGCAAAGTTTAAGCGGCTCGGGTTTACGAAGTTCACTGACCTGTGATATTTCTGCAACTTCAGCAACTTCTTCGGAGGTCCAGATTCCTCGTTCTGCTGGGGCTTCACCACGCTCTGGTCCAGCCTGGGTGCCATCGCGTCCGAGTTACTGACACTTGTCGTCTTGCTGATTTGCCGGCGAATTTCATTTTTGTACGCCTGGAGAATTCTCTCCACACTTTTCTTCGTTGAAAACATCTTAACTTCTTCTACTTTCTCAAGTTATGTCTCAAAGTCAACGTGATTTTAAAGTTGATAGTTAACTTGCAAAAGTCTCGCTTCACTGGTAAATGTTGCGCGTCTGTTCACTACGACTCCGTAGGACTGACTGATTCATAGAGAAAAGTATGATTCTTTGTTGTGTTTTGCCTTCTTGCCTGTTCCAGCACGATTCAAAATAAGCAGTAGTGTGGTATGCACTGTTTACATTAGTTGTATCGACATCGATAACGTTATCTTGGAACAGGATCGGCTGTCGAGACTGTTGATTTCGTTATCATTCACATCCTTTAACGTAATAAACGTACTTTTAACAATTTTAGTGATTAATATTTTAACCACCAATTAATATTTGTCCGATGCTAGTAGCCCGAGCTCAAATGTGAGATTTCCATACACTTTGTATTTAATTAGCGGATGCAAGCAACTTTGAATGGATTCCAAAGACCTCATTAAGCCAAAATCATCTAATCTTTGAAATTCTGATGTAGAATATCACATAATAGTAAAGTTTAATCAAAATCCATTCGGTATTTTTTGCATAATAATAGAGTATAAAACACCAACCAATCGTCACAAACTTTTGCGTTTATGTTATTAAATAGGGCAACATGTAAATTTTATCGACACCTGTTCATCACTACACAGCCGCTGCGCACGCAGCAAAACAAACCGGCTGCCCCCTCCTACGACGAACCACGCGGGCGACGTCACGTAGGCACCCGGCCGGCATCGTGGCCCGGCGTGGCGCTTACAGAGATGCACTTGGATAACGGGACAGTAGACGAGCACCAAGCAACGCCATGTTTGCATTCCATCTCTTTCGTTCACCCTAAAACGACACGGGCAAGAGAGAGGGTTAAGTCGAAATACTGCAGAGCGAAGCCCGATACCACAGTAGATATAACTGTGCCGATACCGTACGACATTCGCATTTCACACAATATTGGATCATTGACATTGGTAGGTAAACATTTATAAGAAATACTGTCAATGTCAACTCATTATAAATTAATCTTAAATTACCAATAATTAATTATTTTTAGTGTAACATTTTATTAATGACGAATGTCTTCTTAGTATGATAAATAAATTAAAGCTATCATGCGAGCCACAACATTTTCCTTGTTCATCAATGATAAATCAAATTGGAATTAATTGTAGGTACAGTTTTAAATAAATGTGTGGACAAAATATTATAACGAAAGAGTCATTTATCACTTTGATTAAACTACTACTCTTAATTGCCAAGTAATCATTTGTGTAACGAAGGAAAGTTTTGCTTAAAATAAATGATTGATTATCATTGATATTTTAATATTCACTTCCTCACGTAGAAAATTTTTACACACGTTTTATCACTTGCACAGGCAACTGCTGCTCTAACCTTGACATAGCAACATCAAATACATAACACTTAAATGCTTTAATAATTTTCTCACAGATTATTTAGCAATACAAATGGCAAAATTAACCTGTAATTGTCTCTACCTCTACCCTAAGTGCGGCCCTGCGTTTGTCTCCTCCCAGTTGCACCGTGAATTCGTGACCCAAAATCAAAACAGGTACTCCTTTTGGATCACGTATTACAGCCGAAATGTTCTGCAAAGTTTACCGTAGCAAGTGTTTATATTCTGCGTAACAACGCATCATCATGAAACATCATGAATAAAAAACACGTATCATGAATAAAAAACACGTATCATAAATAAACAACACGTATCATGAATATTTAAAAAAGTTTTTCTATTAAAATACAAAATTATACCTATGTTACTCGTGGCATCTTTAGATAGAGTTCATAGTTAACGTTTAAACGAAAACATAATAAAATTATGCAATCGGCCAAATACACACCTACTTTGATATTTATCTCGATAAAATTCTATCGGTATGAATAACAATCGATCAATTTGTTTTCATGGCCTATTTAACTGATGTAGATATTTAATACGGTCAAAACAAATATTATTGGATAAAATTGATAAACAGTTTAGATATTATTTATTTATTACCCATTATTTATCTGTCATACGTAGAATGTTTTTTGTTGTTTTCTCAAATAAAGTGGTTTTTTTTAACAATCAATCAATCAATATCCTAGCTAAAGTCGTAATACTAAAGCAAAGCATAATAAAAGTAGGTATTACCTACCTGCATTCCTTGAATGAAGTTGTGAAAGAATGCATGTCTATTATCGTGTGGTATTATAAAATTGTAAACCAACGTTGGATAACGCATTCGTCACACATTGGTAAGGAAAAATAAGGAAACGTAGGCATTTTTCTCAGTCATGTAGAGAACGTATTTTTCATCAAGCAATATTGAAGGTAACTAAGAGTGTAATAGTGTTAGGATGAAAAAAATGTGAAACCAATATTTTGCGACATTGATCTTTGTAATAGTTTGGCAAGAATTTAAGCAACTCTGTTGTAACCATAGTTTCACCTTAATTATAAATAAGAAGTAGGTACTTAATTCTTTCTAGAAAAGTTACGTAGCGACTCGAAATTGACATTACAAAGGCAAATAAATGACAGTGAAAAGTACATATTAAGATGTTTGTTAATAGGCACCTATAGGTACTTAGGTATAAGATACAGACTGGGTAAAGACATTGAGACCTTGGCAGCAACGATGGTGTAAAGTTGTATTTTTATTTGTTAAATCAAACTGATAAGCATATTAGCCTTCAATAAACAAAACAACACCTGTTAATCAATCAGTTTACATCATTGTAGGTAGTAGACACGTAGGTATCGTGATCGTTGAAAGAATTGTCAATTTCTCTCTTGATAAGTACCTATAGACGAATGAGTTTTTGTGAAAGGACTCAGAATATACCTACCTACCTACACAAAAGAAGCTGCGTTTTAAAGCGGACATGATCGGAGAGCGTGATTAAACAGGGTTTCAATTCATTGTCAAGGTTAAACATACCTAAATAGTGAAAAAAATTGGACCTGTTTCCTTAGCAGGTAAAGTCGCAGTCGCACTGACTACGTCACGAGTCTATGTTTACAGAATTATAAGAAAACTAGATTGTGAGATTCCGGAAATTGGCTAGAAAAAATAAAGTAGAGTCGTCCTCGTCTATCTTGAATTACATAAATGTAGGTAATTAGTATGTATCATATTACCGATACTTTCGAATAGATAGTGCGTACTCATACATTAACGTATAGGATCTGCCATTGTATTTCGATTAGCAATTTAATTCCGAATAAATCCTCATTTATGTCAGAGATCAGCATAAACCTCATAGTTTCACAAATAGATAAATTTTCAGAGAAAATGATTTTCAGGGATTTTCATTCACGGAAAGTTTATTATTTTGAGGCGAATTATCTTGAATAGCAGAACTCGTATGTTTGAAAATTCCTGAGTAAAAAAGTAATTAAGTAAATATGACCATTCATTCATGCACGACATTCACGTGAAAAATTATTACAAGATCAACCGTGCTCCTGAAAATCGGTCGAAATCATAAACCAGTATGATCATGCCTTATTCAAATTGCTACAACATATATTGCGTAACTAACGAAAGCAAAAAATGACACTCCACACTCCTATAAGATAGATTGCTTTTTTGGTATCTACCATACGAGCAGAGCTGCCTTTTTTTCCAGGATATAGAGCACAAATAATATTATGCGTATCCGTATTGTAAAAAAAATTGACAAGAAAAAAAGACTCTGTTGATTGTAAACAAATAGTTTTAGGAATCGTATCATACATGACATATTGAGGATGAGGTTTTTTTAAGATATTTTTATTATAGGTAAAAAGGAAAATACTTGATTTTATATAAGACTGCATTTCATCTGATGATTTTAGTATTTTAGTACGTATGGGATCGTTAACTTAGTGTTTGTGTTTGTCATCATTTAAAGAAACTAATTTTACAAGTAAGCAGGTATGTTATTAATTATTTTGTAAAGTATTCATAACTTTCTAGATAAAGAGTTCAAAGAACGAGAATGATGACCACTTGTTTTGGTAGAGTTAGCGTTACTACATCACAGGGTGCGATTGTAGGTTCGAACTCTCTTGGAAGCATAGAGCGATGAGCACGAGCTTTTAAACCAACTTCAACAGTTCTCATAGTGAGTGCATAAGTAATCTTGGGCGTTTAATTTAACCCATTTAATAATCTTTATTTTCTCATCACGAACATTACAATGAGCACAAGTTATTCAATATTTACAATTCAAAAAACAAAAAAAATAATTGGTATTTGTATACCTACCTGTAGTACAGTCATCAGGCTCCCACCACTACACTACAGATATTGACACAATTTAGAATAATTTAGAAAATCGCTATTATAATATTATAACGAATTATAATGAGTCGTGTCATTTGCGACTTATTTATTTATTTATTTACTTTCCGGTCATCATCCAGCTATAAAGATATCAGTGATTATTTTGTGCAGGTGGAAATGCAACTACAGTTTACCTAACACGCGATTGTCATTCATGATATTGAGACGCTGCACTATGTCACCGCGTGCTGATATACGGTAACTACCTAAGATAAACGTAACAGTTTGTGCTATTTGTGGCGACTTAATATAAATGAGCATGTAAATAAATATACTGTTACACCACCCATAAGGTGTGATGCAACGCTAGGCATTAAGTTATTGGTCATTATTTCCATGTTCGTTAAGTAATGTGTTGTCTGGCAAGACGAATAAAGATGTATTGTTTTAGCCGAAGCACTTTAGGTCTGCATGTTCAATTTAAGGTAATGCAAATTCAAATTCTTTAATGCTCTGTGTTGGTATAGAAAAAGTATTTAAGTAAAAGGTCAATATTCATCATTAATGTAGAGTCGCACTGAACTTAAAAGGTCACGAGGATGGAGTCAGCTATGAAATATATTTTGTATTCTAAATACTATGAACGTAAATATACTCGTAACATAGAATATTTCTAAGGATAAGGGCACTCGTAACTATGCGCTCAGACACTTGTGCATTTTTGTTCATAAGATATGATAAAAATCTACCGATTCAAACACAACTGTTTCAGTGATTTAAAAAGATATTCAGAAGCAAAGGTAGGTTGAATTTCTCTAAGAATGGTTGGATAGATTTATAGTCTATTGGAAAAGAAAGACTATACCTAC